AGTCACAAAGTCTGTACGTACCCGTGCGAGACACCCTCGTACGGGATGATCATGCTGCCGCTTCGTTGACCCAACTCTGAACCAAAGGGTATCTTTTGGGCCCATCAGGCCTTTGCTCAGCCCTAGCGGTAGCCTCCGTGCTCAATAACCGCTGACACAAATCTTATGGGTAAGTATCCGCCCGTGGTCATGCTTGACGCTGAGCTCGTGAGATTGTTGTTCTCAAAGCCTCTGCCGCTTCAACAGTGTTTGTGGCATTCCTTGAGGCCCAAATCACCCAGATTCGTGGCTAAATTTCCAAGAATATGCCCCCCGTCTATCCCGTTTGGTTCACCTTCAAGGTTTCCACTACAGCTGACATGGTTCGTTAGGCCAACCAAGGGACGGACCTCACCTTTGACTAGATTTCATTCGTTGGATGTATGCAAGACCTCCCACACCATCGAATTTGCGGCCTAGAGCTTGCAGCCGCTTTATGCACAAACACCAAACACTTGGTCGTCGTACCGTGTGTGTGTTCGAGGGCGTGGGATGTCATTTTATTGTGAGTGGTCTGTCACTGTGCATGCCAATTTTCTCGCCACTTCAAGACCGCACGGTTGTGAAATTATTGAGCGATTTCTCGATGCCTCCACGTCTGAAGTGTGTAGCCCGCGCGGGTCAGGCACAGGCAAACTCTTCACTGCCGTTACGAGACCGTCGTCGTCTGCCTGATTCCTATCCGGGATGCTGACCTTGTTTCTTCAGAAGATGTTAGGAGAATTACATTTTTTTGCTTTTCCTGTAGGAACGACGTCAGCATGCGAATCACATTCCCAGAGCTCATCGCTCCTACGATATCGTGGATATCTACTGTAGCAGTGGGAAGACCCGGCTAGCTGCTCGGCTTTATGCAGTAGCTCCACGTCCCTTGCGGAATACTATCAGTGGAGTAGCGTTCGAAACGCTTGACAGTCTTCGACGGAAGGCATACTCGTTTGATTACTGGTACGTGAGACCTGTTCACGCTGCTCAGTGGTTGATCAGGCACTCGGGCACCCAGCGCAGTCAGACGTCTCAGTGACTCGCCCATACTGTCTCGCCCGGTCAATGCCGTCCGCAGCCAGATATTGCAGCCAGCGTCTGATTGGTACGGACAAAGTGAGCGCTTCGGCACGCCCAGCGCAACCGACCTCGAAGTTAAAAAGACTGAGCGTCGTTGCTCCACCAGCATGAGACCTCCAGCTAGCACAAGCATCGCATCGCCAGCAAGGTCAACCTTTCACTTAGAAATGCCAATCTCGCTAACGACAATCTGTTCGCAAGACGAATCACGCGCCTGAACTCGTTCGTGCCGCCACTACTTCAGAAATGTGACAGGTCAGATTACGCTAACTCTCTGTCGACCCCGCGCTGTTAACGGTCTGCTAGCCGCGACAGCAGCTGAGGGAGTGTTTCAGACCTTTGGGGCATTTCGCATTGTAGCACGGAGATGAACCCCACATCAGCCAGCTGCCCCTTGATGGTGACCGGAAAGGTGCTTGAGCAATTATTACGCACCTAAACCACGAGTCAGTGCTTCTTTGGGCCCGGGCGAATTCGCAATGATGCCTGTCAACAAGGAGGGAGCTATTCCCGACAATACCCTATGTACCCAGCTGGTATGAGAGACAGCCCTTGCTTCATTGTGTTCGCTGATCATTTGATATGGTTCTTTCCAGCTCCAACCCGACGGACGGGTATTTGCTCCGGACATTGTTGCAGAACATACAGGCATTCTCCTTGTCAATGTGGTATCCTATCTATCTTACGTCTGTTGCCGCACTATCCGTTGATTGTCTTGGCTGGACATTGGGTCTGCGTTTGAGGTCGATCGTCATGTTTTCAATGGGCAGGCGTTAAAGTCAATGACCCCACGCCGAAGATCGACTATCAGATACCTTGCACGAACCGCTGGGGGGGATTTCACATGCCCCGAAAGTGGGAATGGGTTTTGCACAGGTAAGACTTCTGGTACCAAGAAACTGCTGTGACAAAACTAGTGGGTTCATGGAACCAGAGCCAGCTCTTGCTTCAATCCGAAAGCTGCACAATGTCGCACCCTCGACGTGGTGCCCACATTCAGATGTCGTCGGGACCCCTGTTTGAGGCCCTCTACAGGGCCACCTGCGGCGATCCGCCTCAATATCCTCGCTCAAGGCGTGCTCAATGGCTCCGCTTGGAGTGGTTAGCGAGCCAAATGCCGACCATTGGTTTGCTTGGGCAGACTGGTGCAAGCTCATGCAACAATTCTAGGAGACTGCTTGCGATAAGAGAGAATAGTGTTCAATCCGATTGCTATCACTGCGCCATTTCTGCGCATTCCTGACAGCAGAATGCGATAAACACGGTGGAAGGCCACTGAGCACAGGATGCGCACACCCTCGAGCGACATTTAGCTTGCACCATCCCACATTCTTTGAATAAGATAATCTGGAGAAGCATTCCCGAGCCAGCGGTCAGGTCCGTTGCCGCCCACCGCGCCACGCCGACCTGCATTACCTCTAGTGCTGACCACTCTTCTCAGCCTGATGCACCTTTTCACCTCCCACTGACGTGATCTCAAAGTACCTGAGGCCGTCCGCCGCACGGAGCCGCTTTGAAACTCTGGCAGTACCTACTCGGATTGCTTGAAAAAGCAAAAGTGATCGGCAGCCTTGCATCGAGCTACGGGTGCTCGGAGGCTGGACGGTAATCTTCCGCCTTATGGGGCACGGTGTGATCTACCATGTATGGAAGGAGGCGGATCATGGCTTAGATGCGGTAACACGAAGCATCCAGAACCGAAGTGTATGCTTCGTGTCATAATATCCGAGAACGTGTCATGTCCCGGAATGGTCGCAGTCGCCTACCCCAAGTCACCAACTTCCCTACCAGTCGAACCAAAGACTATTCACGAGATGGTTTTACATGCACGAGAAATGGATACCACACCAAGGCTGTTCTCTCCACCAAGTTTCCACCAAGTTGTGTATCATGCGCAAGGTCAAATGTGTTCGATGGACAGAATAAAGATCGCTGCATTGCGTGTTCGTGTCGGTCACACGGTGCTGCGAAAGCTCCCTACTCGTGTTGCACACGAGAAAGACTCTGTGAGTGCATGCGCTCCTCCTTGTTTACTCCTCCAGGCTTTACCAGAGGTAGGCATCCCAGCCGCTTTTGGCCACCTGTATTTACAGAATCAGGGCGTCACATTGTCCGCTGACATTCCTGCAAATACTTTGTCAGCGGCTTGTTTCGTCTGCCGACATTTTGCCTGCTGACCACAACGGTCTAATTTTGAGTCTCGCCGTCAATAGGAGGTGAAAGATCGTTTTCGCAAAAGGACTCCCTTCCACGAGGGCCTGGGCTGTCTGGATCGGACGAACCACCATCTCCCACGGCGCTCGATCAACCATTGGACCGAGTTGTGACGGTCGCAGCCTCTCCCCTCTATCAGATGACCTGTGGCGTAAAGCAATGATAGGGGTCAGTGCAAGCGACTCTGCCGCCAGTCTAGCTTTCCACTCAGGAGGCAGAACGATAACACCCCCGGTTTCGAAGCGTGAAGGGACAAGACTGAGTCGTTTGCAGCAGTGAATTTCTGCCGGCCTGCGTTGTCTTTCTCCCAATTACCAACTCCATACAATAGGATCCCACCAGGGCTGTCCTCGACGGTTGAAGACGGTGTCGGCATCCGCCGAGCCGATCGGCATGACAGTCGCAGCAGCAGCACCGTTTCCGTCCCTTTCCCCAATCCAAGTACCATTACTTGAGCTCGAATATCTGGTGCAACATGCTGCCCACGTCTTCGATTCTGCCGCGTGGTCTGACCCTTTCCGTGGCTTCCACACTGTTATCTCCTAGCCGACTTTCGGTCATCATCCTCGCACGATTGCCGGCTTACTAACAAGTGGCTTTCAATTCAGATCCGGTCCCTTGCAGCTTCGCCAGACCCGTGCGGGATCCTGATGACGTGGTTGCGCAGTGATAGTCGTAGAACTTCCCCTTGATTCGTGATGTGCCAGAGGTAGGTGCCATGCGAAGCAGAATCCTCAGTGTTGGAGACGAGACCCTCTCGAGGGCTCCCCGGCATCGTGGCACTATAGCAATACCGCGTCAATCGCAATCGACAGGGAATGATGCTATTCTAAAGGACGAAGTTCTAGATGTCTACAGCATTTCCTATTCTAGAGCGCCAAAGTTTACCAGGTCCAAGCGAACGCTGCTTCTCACTTTTCCTGTCCCCGTCCAAGTCAACCCTCAGGGGAAATAGTCCATCCACCCAATCCACTGCACCTCCAGCTGCGTCCCAACGGTCCCTGATATCAGCTGTATACCATACAAACAAGGATCAAGTCGCAACGGAGGCACCTATCCGCGAAAACCGTCTCGCAGCAAGACTTATCTCGTGTGCTGGAGGAAGTCGAACCACGGTGGAACTACAGCCATATGAACAGACAAGGTCTGGTTGTGGTTTCGAATGCCCGACATCCGATAGATAATGGGAGGCGAAAATAAACGATTTTTTATACAAAATATTCACTGCGAATTGGTTTCGCCCGCTTGCTATGCACGTAATTGTAATATGCACATCATCTCCAGGCACAGGTGTAACAGCTCCTTTAATCTCGTTGCATTCACCCGACAGAATCCCGGCGATTTATTCCCCAACTAGAACAATGTTTAAGTCTCGACACGGTTGTCCGTTATCTCGCGCCTGAAGAGACTCGAGAGCCTCCTGAGTATGTTTGCAGTGAGCAAATCTCACTGGTGTAAGGTCCTGAGCGGGACTCAGCTCCATACCCCATAACGTCGCTGCTCACGCAATTCTTTTTTCGCAAGAGCTTTTTGCTCTAACCGTCGATCAGTCAGGTTATATAAGCCTCCTCCTGAGCGCGGAGTTCCTGCTCGAGGCGGGCTCTTACTTGTAGGGATCGTTGGATGACCGATATATGCGTTGCTGATCGTTCGCGGGAGAGACACGTCGCGCCGGATGTTCTCTAGAACCCGCAGAAGCTTTCTTTCTTTGTGCCGTACTCGACGGTTGACTGCTTCCGCATCTTCTTGGTGCCGTTGTTTGTCTCGGTGGCTCGGAGAGCTTGGGATTTGGCCTTCATATAGTTCTGCTTGATGTATCTCACGCTCTTGCGCCGCGGCACTGGACGACTTCTTGTCACTTGTGTCGCGTCTTACAGCATCCTCAAAATCGCATAGATCTGTGACGGGGATGTGGTCCGCAGGTGATTTACTTCCCAATACACCAGACCGGTCCGGCTCAGCGAATTCTCGAGGATGCTTTTGCGGATCAGCCCTGACCTTTCTTCCACGAAGGAGGACCCCTTGGATTCGGTCTCTATGATAAGGCATGCTTTGGACAAAGCGGCAGGTTTGAGGAGCGGTCTTGCGAAGAGCCATGTACGTGGCTCTATCGCCTTCCGCGGCAAGCCTGTTTGCCTTGAGTAGGACGCTCGCGAGGTGAACTGCAGTGTAATAGGTTGGCATCAACTGGCCCGGGTCCCGTTTTTCCATAGCCTTGCGAGAAACGAGAATCGGAGAAGACCCTTGTGATGCCTCGGACAACAGCCACTTTCCACGGCGTAAGACTGACCACGGCGGAGTATTGGCAATCATCTTCTGCTCGAAGATTTCATAGGCACGGAGCCAATGTTGCTGATCCTTTGAAAGCGTCAAGATCTGGATGTACATATTCCAGTTTTTACTGGACAATGCAAATCCCACTCTCTCTAGTTCAGCCACAAGAGCTATAGCACGAGATTCGAATTGACGGATAGACAAACTATTTAAGTATCGTGTCAAAGGTGCTTCGAGGATGTATTTTTGTGAGGGAAGGATCGCCAGCCCTGGCTCATTCAATGGACCTGAAGTTGCAGCAGGTCGTGGAATCATCGACTCGAACGAGAAGTCCCCCTTCGTGATCAATTCAGAGTCGGGAAGACCTATAGGCCGTACTGGCAGAAGTCGCTGGCCATCAGGAGCTCTGCCTTCGCCGGGGGTTTCTTTTCTGCCTGAGCGGGAAAATCTTCTTGCTGTCTGGATACCCCGTTCGAGTATTTGTTTCCAGGTAGACTCAACCTTTTCCCAGTCGTGACTCTCACTTGAAATCATGAGGCGCCGGGTCAGGAACTGGATCGAGGAAGAGGCGGCATTGCCTAGCATGAGGTATGATGACTGTGCGAGAGAGTCAAATCTCTGAAGAAGCTTCTCTGCATGCTTTATTTGGCCTCTTGCAGCAAGAAGGTCAATGAGATATTCCAAATATACCGTTGGGATGGCATCGACGCCTCGACGGCGGTGCAGACCGGGCTGTGGTTGACGCGCTGCGCGGTCCTGCGCCGAGAGCTCATGAAGAATCTCTTCCAGATACTGAGCCGCAAATCGTGGCCGCTCATTGGGGATGGAATTTCGACTGGCCTGTAGATGAAGCATCGCGAGACGTGGACTAGCGCCAATCCTCGGGAATCGCTCAACCATTTCTTGGTACACAACATTGGCCATGTCCCTGTCACCTTCTTTGGCAAACCCGTGTAAGATGATGGCGTAGTGAAATGGTGTAGCAGCAAGTGTCTGACTCAGGCTCAGGGTCCTTAGTATTTGGACCGCATCCCGAGTCCTGTTCAAAACCACAAGCGCGGTCATAAACGCAGCGTGGGTCATGGCATCTGGCTCGACTCCCAGCGCCCTCATACGACTCTGAACACGCAGCATACCATCTGAATCCGCGGCGAATGCGTAATGGCGTAGCAGATAATTCCACATCGTGACAGGCGAGCCCTGGAGAGAGGCAGTTGTGGCTGCTTCAGCGAGCCTCTCCGCAGCCTCTGCTTGATCATTCAGGCAGTATGTTTGTATCAGGCCAGCGACCAATCCATATGACCCTTGTACTTTATTCCGCTGGGCTTGTTCAAGAATATCCAGCACGGTATCGGTGTCACCAGTTCTCGAGAAAATACCCATCAAGGTAGTAAAGGTAAATGCATCCGGCGCCACTCCCTGAGCCTCCATTTTGTCGAAGACTTCAAAAGCCCGCCAAGGCTCGAGAGATCTGGAATGGGAATAGAGAAGGATATTCCAGCAATAAGAGTTTGGGCGTACTCCGGAGTCGACCATTGACTGGAACTCCCGCTCTGTCCCTTGCACATCGCCAAGGCGAGCGAACGCGTACAGGAGCGGCGTATAGTATGCCACGTCAGTGGGCCGTGAATGGGCCTGACAAAGGCGTGAAAAAGTCTGCTGGACGCCATCAACATCACCTTGAGCAGCAAGGGCTGAGAGAACCTTCTGATAACTCTTCAGGTCTGCAACACTGTGAAACTTCGAGAATTCGTCCAAATAGTGGTAATATGTCTCACTGGGTGCCCCTTCATTGGAGTGTATCGACAAGAGCGAACCAAAGGTCTGAGGTCGTGGCAGCACTTCTGGGAGATTTGATCGAAGCATGTTGTACACGAGATCAGCCAATGCTCCCTTGTCCGGTCTTATGGCAAGTTTATTGATGGTATCAATGGCAGTGATGTAGAGGGATGGTTTGGAGAGCGATAGGTCGTTCGAAAGCTGGAACAGATGCTGTAATCCTTGCGGCGTGACTATGCTCATAAGCGCACCGTTTCGTACTAGGGCGGATAGAAGCTCGTTGAATAGTGTTGAGAGAGTTCCTGAATGCTGCATGGTAACTGTTGCCCGCTCTCGCAGCTTTGTTCCGAGTTGATAGATTGCAAATGGTAGATCGCGATAATTGCCTATCTCCTGCGTGATGGCAAGCCGAGTCGGAGATGATTGACCAGCGCGAAAAGGAGCTCGCTTAAACGAGGTATCCCAAACCGTCGCAGCGGTGTTCCAGAGCTGGTTGGAGACAGCATGCAACAAGAGAAACACACTGCAGCCTTGTTGCATATCGCGCCGCGTAGCACGAGCATTGATTCTCAGAGCTATACGATAATTGTCCGCTTTCAACGCCGATCGGACAGCCCGCTCATAATCATCTTGAGTTCTGTCCTCTTCGTCGATAAGTCTGAAGACACTCAAAGCCAAAGCTTGATCCCGTCTTCTGCTCGACTTGGAAAGGAAATGGAAGACTTCAGGCGCGTACGCCTGCTGATTTGGGACCTGGTTAAACAAAGTCCAAGCGCGATCGAAGTCGGCGCTTTCAGGCTCTGGTTGCACGTCCCTGTTGGTGTCGAGGATATGCAAGAGATGTTTTTCTGTTTCAGTGATAGTCGGAACAGGATGTTCATTCCACGACTCCCCATGTGCGCCTGCGGCAACCGCTTCATTGCTGCTTTTCTTTGTATCGTCCACGATTATGTGTCCCGAAGGACTGGATGGAGGATAGTGTAGAAGCACATCTTCCAAGCTCTCCTCTTCCTTGACAGCCACAGCAATAGCTTTTTGGGTGGACTTTGCCGATCGAGTATAGGTTCGTGAGGATGACGACGGAAGACGGGCAGAATTTCGATCGGATGTCGAAGCTCGGACTCGCGTTTGATAAGGATTTTCGCCTGGTCCGGCTAGCCAGGACTGTCTCGGAGAAGAGGGTGTAGCCTCGATGCCGGGTGGATTTGGACGCAGAGCTCGGATACTACTGAGGTACAAGGGCCACCAGGGAGGAACGTCCAGCTTGTTGCCTCCATTTTTCCAGAACGAGGGACCAAGCGCACGGTGTGTGCGAACGGGAGGCTCGAGGCGCCGAAGGAAGAGTTGAGAAGCTGGTTCAATGCATGCCGCAGTCCGCTCTATCATGCCACGAGCAAGATCGACGAGATGTAGTCAAGCACGAGGTAGGAATTGGTGATGGTGGTGAACGACTGTCCTTCTGACATGTAGAGATTACTATGAGAAAGCTTCTGGAATGACAGGGCAAATGGACAGGTTGAAATGGTAGACCAAGGAGAATCAATGATAGCATCAGGTGAGAGAAAAGTCGAAGGGTAAACGGATCGTATCAGTCGCTAATTACATAACGCCGCTACTACTTACTGCACACATTGAGATTCATCCCCACATTTTATTACCTCTGCCTTCATTTCTCCATGGCTATGCCACATTTCGGCTTCTAGCACCACCACATCTGGTTCAGCTCGCTTCCAGAATGGATATCACCAGTTCGATCGTCTCTGAACGCGAGCGGGCTCTTCTGGGAGGAGACTACAATGCCTACCATGCTCAAGCCACCCGCAAAATCCACAACCTCCGCAGGCGCCTGGGTGCCGCAACTCGAGGGAGAAAATACACTCCCAAAGCCCCAGTGACTGCAGAGAACGTGTCCAAGAACGCAGAGTAAGACCCTCATGTCAGGGATGGAAATGGTGGACTGACTTGTCTCAAAGATGGGTGCAACTGCTTCTGGCCTCGTCCGAGCGAGCATGGGCATCTTCGATGGCCATGAAATCGGCCCAGTCGGCAGAGAACACCCAGAAGCCTATGCCTGGCTCCACGAAACGGCAGATCGCATCTAGGCTCCGAAGGGCCATCACCTACGCCGAGAATCTCGTGACGGTTCTGCAAGATCGCAGCACGACCGGCGCAAAAGCCATTGACGAACTCGAGGCACGTGCTTATCTAGCCATGTTAAAAGGAAGTCTGGATTTCGAGAAGGGAAGATGGCAGGGATGCGTTCAGAACTATTCCATTCCTCAGATTGTGTATACCACATTGGCACGCTCATCAAAGGCGGACACGTATAGGGAACTGTTATCTGGCATAGTCGATCCCAGCATCCGATATGCCGCATATCAGATGAAGATGCCTCGCACAAAAGCTATCAACGATATCGCCATTGAGAACTTCCCCCAAAGCGAAACCACGGTCCGTAAAGAAATTGAGGGCATCAATGCGCAGGCGTTCTCGACAGGAACAGAGGCGGCTCCCACGAAAGGAGGTCCCAAGGAAATCCCCTCCACCATCTCCTGGAGGAGTCGGAAGGTGAATCTCGAAGACGCCAATATCTCTCAAGCTCTTGGTTTCTCTAAAGAACGAGAAGAGGAGTTGAACGCCGCCTATAAATCTTTCAAAGATGGATTTCTAAGTGCTGAAGACCTCGCAACCGCCTACGAAGAAGTCATCACTGCTCTTCAGGACGCTGCGGATGCCACGAAGACCGCTATCGACGAGCTGATTGCCGAAGGCGTCGACACTGGTGACTCTCGCCTGCAGTCACTCCAGATAACCCGCACGGCCGTCAACTGCGGCGTGATCGAATGGCGGGTTGGACGTAATAGAGTCCTCTGTGGTGCTACTGACGACGGTCTGGCTTTTGAGTCCGAGAAAATTACAAAATTCTTCAAGCCACGCAAGGACGGCCAGCCTCGCGCGCCGAAAGAGGAGAGTTCAGGTCGCAAGCTGTCGAGGCTGCGGGAGAGGGTTGCACTCTACGACTCGATTCTGCAGAGTCTCGATGCCGTGAAGGAATTACCCGGTGTCATTGCGGACAGTGCTTTTGTGGATGAGCTTGATGCCAAACGAGCATACTTCCGTGCTTTGAAGTGTTTGGCGGTTGGCCGATCGCATGCCATCAATGACCATATACCGAACGCGTTGGCTCTGTATGCTCGAGCGCTTGGGCTCGCAGAGAGCGCCGCGAGCACCTTGAAAGCAGCGTCAACTAACGACGATTCAACACCCCCCAAACTCGACTTGTCATCCCAGCATCTCACGCAGACGACCGTCACTCTCAACAAACTTGTCACTCAGTTCCGTGCATTGGCTGATCTGGAATCTCTTGCCAATGCAATTAGGCCATCTCTGAAAGACACCGCCCCAACGCCCGCCATTAAACCTGCTCCTCTCATAGAACGCCTCTCCCGCAACGAATACATTCCGGACTTGGACCTGACCAACCTTGTGAACTATCCTCCAAAACTCCGTCCAGTCCCAGTGAAACCACTCTTCTTTGACTTAGCATGGAACTATATCAAATATCCGGGCCAGAAAGGACCCGAAGATGACGTAGGAGCTGAGGATGTGCAGATGGTAGGTGCTGGAGAGGAGGTGAATGGAAAGGCCGAGAAGAGCGAGGAGCAGAAGCCGGCGAAGAGGGGCTGGTTTGGCTTTGGCCGCTAGGTGTTCCCGACACACGCGACTGCATAGCTGCTGGTATGCAAGATGCAGGGTATTCCTTGGGGTGACGACTGCGAGCTCGAGTTCACCAGGCTCGAGTGCTCTGCCGTTAGTAGGTTGATGGGGCCACACCAGGCCCTGAAGATGACGTCGGAGGAGAAGAAATTACCCCGTGCGTGTCTGCAGAAGCGTTTCACCCTCAGCTGAGCAAGGGCACACTGATGCAGGAGGACCATTCGCCCGAGATATGGAAAGGCCGGGAACGGGACAGGGGCATTGACGATGACCCCCAACAAGGACGATGATGCTGTTTAGCCTGATAGACGGATGGCGATGGTGCCCTTTTGATAGTCATCTTGCCCACTTCTAACGGGTTGGTTGGTCGATTAACCCCCTCACCGACCAGGAAATGGAGTTGTGCGAAGCCATCCATGATCGAACAAGCAACTCGGGTAGAGGCCAAGCATGTTGTGTCGCGAGACCTCTCGACAGACATGGACAGATATGGACAGACAGCCATATATAACCATAACATAGCATAACATCGAAACCACTTGGATTGGATAGGATACACAGGTTGCAGCTGGCCCCGAACCTGACTGGGTTTCTCGCTCTATCCATAGACATCTCTCTATCGACAGACATACGTAGATATCGACTGTTTGTAGTATGTATGTACGTGGACATATTGTAGTGGTCTAATCTTATACCGACTTCCCGAACATAATTACAATATGTCACGACATGAGTAGAGAGAGAATCATCTACCAGTATCAGTCAATCAATCAATCAGTCAGTCAGCCAGTCGGTACTTAGATTCATCCTCCCCCGTAAGAGTGAGTAAGTGAGTTATACATACATATGTACATACATACATACATACATACACACACCTCTACAGTACGTACCTAACTCCAGGCAAATACAAGCTGAAAGCAACTACGTCTCCATACCTCCTCGTGTTTCCCCCGGAGTGCCACCACACACAAATACATCCTCGTGCGCCAGTTAGCTGCTGTTGTCCATGCCTGTGCTCGTGTCCATGTTCTCGGTATCACCGCGCCACTCACTCTCCACACCCACCACACTGTAGTGTAGGGCACCCACACAGTCCAGCTCTCAGTTGACTTTTTCGGAGGATTAAATCTGATCCTTTTGTCGCCTCGTCTCGGTCTCGCCTCCTCCTCGGCTCTGGACACGTGGGCAGACACAAGAGGGAAACCAAGAAAAGGTTGGATAACCCCGTCAAACGAGCGCCTTGCCCGTTTCGCGCGGGTTCAGCACCCCCTGTCCAGCTGAAAAAGATCGGCGTACAATCAAGTCGGACATCACACACACTCACTCTCTCACTTTCACAAAGCATTTCCGGGTCGCTGGGGGTCTCGAGCTGGTCAGAGTATTACTTGGGTCGGGATTCCATGGATTGCAGACCTTCGAATGCAAAACATGGCTCTTTGGCTGTCGTTTCCTTTTTTGGGCACCGCCCGTCCGTCGTCCAATCCCGCATCATAATTATCTAGATAGTTATGAGATCCATTTGCACCGACGCCTTGCTAACAGAGTCGTTGTGCCCCTCCAGTACCCCCGGAAACCCAACCCTAAAATTCCCAAACGGTGACCAGAAATCTAACCACCACGGTTGTCTCTTCCAGAAGAATTCCGGCCATTCGTATTCGATGTGCGGGTCATATCTAACTTTTTGCATCTTAACAATTCATCCGGTCCAGCCGAAGTTGTATTTGGGCAGCGTTCGAGTTGCGTGCTCTCTGGCGGTGCCTTTTGTCGCCACGTCGCCTATTCCCTGGCGGGATCGTTGATAAACAGGGGGTCGAGTCCTGAGAGAAAGTCCGCCTTACTCGATGCCGGCCGAATCCACCGAACTCGCCAAGCAACAAGCTTCCAACTCAAGGTTCGTCATGCAAATAAAACATGTGGCTTGGGGGGCTTGGATGCTCAGCGCCTTCCTTCAAAAGTCAATGTTCGTCGCCTCCAGACGATTCGGGCGTCCTGATTGTCGCAGAAATGCTCTGTGCCATCAAATCGGCAGTCCTCACGGAGCAAACTGCTGCTCTGACGCGAAGGTTGAGGGTAGGAATGTCGTCTCCATGAGGGGTCCGTTTCGTCAACGATGCTGCGTGTTTCGTCGCTCGGCCCTGTCTCTGCCATGCCATATTGTTTTCGGGCCCTGGACCTCACTTCAAAGTCCTCCTTTCTCGCACCGTCGACCTTTGCCCGGGCCGCCAGAAAGCCACTTGTGATTGTAGCTGCTCGTGTCGATGTAGAGTTGTAAGCACGGTGGGAGGGCTCTGGCGAGAATCGTAAATGTGAGGGGACTGGTGAATGCGTGAAATGTCGATCCGGTTGTTTGGAGTCTCTATCTTCCAGTGCCGGTTCTGGTATGTGGTCCCTCAGGTCCACCCGGTTGCTCTGATTCCTCGTCTGCCGGAAGAGAATGAGAATGCATAGAAGGATACAAAAAGAAAGAGCATATGTGGTCTGGATCAGAAGATATTCCAAGTTGGTATACTGTCTGGGATTCACTTGGAGCGGCGGCATCATAGTATAATGTGAGAATTCTTCGGTTGAGGGACTTGGTGAAGACATTCCCGCCAATGCTATAATGAACTATGGAAGGAAGCTAGAACTTGCACAGGCAGGACGTCGGCCAAATAGACCTACCTCCAGACATTTGGCGAGCAGCCGCACATTATATCATTGGAGCTTGAGCGTCCTTATTCGGATAGAACTTCTGTGTGACCTCGCACGGACACGAGAGCAGGAAAAAACATGGCACCAATGGCGTGAATTGTCGGGAACGTTGCTATGCGACAGATCTAGATCCCCGAACCATGCTGCTGTAACCTCGACCAAAAGCATAATAGCCTCCCATGCACCACGTCGAGATGGGAACATGGCTGGCTGGCGGGCTGGTTGGGCTGGTTGGCAGGAAAGCATGTCGGAGTCGCCCTCGGGGGCAGAGGACGAGGCAGACCCAGGGCCAGGGACAATCTCCGTAAAGGCGCCATTGTGTGGTCATCAGACATGGGGAAATTGACAAAATCAGCCATAAAGTTGCACTCTGACAGTGAAAATCGCCTGGAAGAGAGATCCAAGAAAAAGAACACGGTGAGGTTCAGCTTGGATGGGAGGACGCCGTCGGGACAATCATGGAGAAAAGGCTTGACCGGTCGCGAGCCTATTCAGTGGACGATTACCGAAAAGGCGGCAGGGGTTGGGACCTTCAGCTCGCCTGATAAACGCCCCCTTTTTTGAAGCTTGAGGTGGAGGCCAGAGCGCGGCTAGGAAAGGTTGAGGGCACGGCTGTCCCACCCGCAGTCTTTGTCATGTTCAGTGCGATGCCCGTCGAACCTTGACGTGATTCGAGCAGAGGGCCTTACGTGAAACGGAAGCACGAGGTCGGGAGTGAGCGATGGCAATGTGTCAGGATGTGACAGGACGGATGTTTGATGATTTTTGAGAGATGAGATCGATGCCAGCCGAAGGGAAAACAGGAGGACGAGAGGAGAGACATGACGAGGGGGCGCAGGCAAAGGCCGACAATGTGCGACGGACTCGAGACGGGAATCCGCGTTGCCGCTTTTACATGCTGCGAACGTCATACGATTGCTCCGTCAACGCTTTCCTGATATGAACGAGTCTTCAGGCCGAAAACATCGAAGCCACTGGACGGGTTTGTTATGGAACCATGCATGATTCATCGCTTAAGTGATTTTTGTCTGAAAATAGGCGGCGGTTCTAGACGTTGGCTCACCATGCCGCCAGAAATGCACCTCCCTCCGTGTTGCGCCTCGTATATGGATGGCTTCACACAACGCCTAGCCCGTCATTCAGCCCGTTAGAACCAGAATCCCGAAGCCCCAAGCCCCAAGCGCAAAAGCCAAAAAAGACAGACTACTCCCCTGCCCCCCGGACGAGCCGCTGTGCCCGTCCCCAAATCTACCCTTCATCTACCCTTCAGCTTATCCGGCAACTTTCATGACCTTCTCCTCGTGGCTCATGGGCTGGCGCACCTGGGGACGTTCGGCCTCACCACTATTTCTCCGCGAAGTGCTCTGGACCAGCTTTTTTAGCGTGTCTGGGGCGTCTTCTCGGTCCATGATGACCTCGACAATGTTGAGGCCCTTGCCTGCCTGAAGCCCGGGCTCCGCCAAAATGTCCTTCAATTGACCCCAAGTTTCAGCTCGCCTAGTCACCACCGGATATGCAGGGTCGTCCTTGGGTGCCCCGAAGTAGCTTGGTGCTTCGAGATATCTCCACGGTTGGATGTCGTTGTAGCCCGCCTTCATGCCGTGGATCCATCTCTCAATCACGTATCCGTCATTGTTGATGACGAAAATAGTCACATCGACACGATTCCGGATCATATCGCTGATGGATTGCGCCGTCATTTGCAGACTGCCATCACCCTCAATGAGAATAGTGCGGCCGTCGGGGCGCTTTCCTTCTGCAATCATCTCCCGTTGAGCTAGGGCCGCACCTTGGGCTGCTGGGAGCATGTAGCCAATGGACAGCCATATGCAAGAATTGATGAGGGAGGCGTGTGCAGGGAGGACCATATCTCGGCATCCTACTGCCGCTGTACCCGTCTCCACCAAAACGATGTCGCCAGAACGGAGAAATCTGGAAAATCGTTGGTAGAAGGTGGCCTGGTCGATCTCATCGTCCTCACCGACCGGGGGCAGAGCCATCAACTGAACACCTGGGTGGCCGAGGTCCATGGACGGGCTATACTTGGGGAGCTTGTCCTTCTCCAACTTTGAGAGGATTTTGCGGAGGAGAGATTTGATATGAAGGTTGTGATATTTGGTCCCGCCGATCTCGACGTAGTCGCGATGGAAAACAATGGCTGACTTGGGGTCCGGAATAGTGCTGAACCCAAAGGTGTTGACATCGCTTTCCAAGGGTCCCAGTTTGATGACCAAATCGCAGCCTCGAGCCCAGGGCATGTATATTTCATTGCCGGCAATACCGGCGTAAATCCCATAGAAGTTGGGGTATGTTTCATTGACAATCCCCTTGCCAAAAGGTGTGGTCGAGGTTGGAAACTCGGTTACCCGGACCAGCTCATCGGCTTCCTCGCTGACACCGTATCTTGACGTGCACCCATCGACAACGATCAAGGGTTGTTTGGACGAGTACATTTTGTTGAGGATCAGCTCGACTTCAGTGTCTTCAAAGCCTTCGTCATTGAGCGAGATCGAAAGATCAATAGGCACATCAAGCGCCGCTGCCGAGACCTGGGCCTTTACCATGTTGGTTGGTAGTTCAAGGTAGACCGGTCGGCTCTGCAGGACACATTCTCTGATGCAGCGATCAATCTGTGCCGTTGCAGTAGCTGGATCCCTCAGATTGGCCTGGGCCACGGTGACCTTTGCGTACATCTCGGCAAAGATTCTGAAGTTGCCGTCCCCCAGTGAGTGATGCATGCATAACTTGTTGTCCTGCACGTTGGTCGGAGCGGTGCCCACAATATGAATGACCGGAGCCACTGTTGGTCACCGTCAGCATATATCCAAGAGTGCAAACGTGTAGGTGCACGTACTTTCGCTGTATGCACCGGCAATAGCATTCATGGCTGACAGCTCCCCGACACCAAAGGCCGTGACAAGAACTGACAGGCCTCTGATCCTGGCATAGCCATCTGCAGCATACCCAGCATTCAGTTCGTTGGCATTTCCGACCCAGTCCAGACCGGCTGGTTCAATATAATCCAGGGCGGTCAAGTTGTAGTCTCCAGGAACGCCATGTACTGACTTGACCCCGACTTGACGAATCCTCCGGAAGAGGTATTCGGCTAGATCGATGTGGGTAGCCATAGCTCGATGTCTCAATGGCTGATGCAAGCAAGGTAAATTCCTGACAGGCTGGGGGTGTGAATCAATCAGGCAACAACGGGTTTGACAAAAGAAAATGACGTCCAAGAGCCAGGAATCGAGTCAGTTATATAGAGTAAACAGGACAAACTCATCTTACATCCCCCGGAGAGAACGGGGGTCCTTAAAAGCGAGACTTAGGTGAGATACTACCACATCAGTGGAACTGGCGGAACAGTTGGAGGTCTCATCTCGGCAGAAACAAGCACCCTTGAGGAGATGGAAGAGGCCTAAGATGATGTCGTCAAAGAACGGGAATGCAGGGAGAACAGACCAAGTGGTTATCCGTTGCGGAATAAACCTCAATCTAGGCGGCTGCCAGCGGTTGCTGTCGGTTCAGTGCGGAATCATGCCGAATGCCGAGACGACGCAGTCCGTAAAGCATACCTCTTTGCAATGGATCGATCCGACGGTAAACACAAGCGGATGCTGAGAGACCCTATCAGCGAACCTGACGGGAGATCGTAGGAAAGGCTATAATGCTTGTCGTCTCAGCAAGAAGTCGACTTGCTGGCTGCATTCGGGTCGCCTTTTGAGTGAGCACCGAGCGATAAGCAATGCCGCGATTTGGTCCTCTCAACATCTTCCACATCCTTTAGCTACATTCCCTGATCGAGTAAACCAGATGTATCGGAGTACTTGATGCCTGTTGCCGTCCCCACCTCCTACTCCTCCCGTGCTCGTGCGTCTTCAACGGCTTTCTGCCAGTCGGTCAACCGCATGTACGTGGCCATGATGAGTGTCGCGCAGCCGAGTCCTGTACATGGGCCAATCCACATGCCACTAAGGCCCATCTGAGGCGGACCGAAACACAGGGAGAACGACAATGGAAGTGCGAACAAGTAATAAACCCCCAGATTAACCCAACCCCCAACTTTCTGTCTCCCTAGGCCACGCAAAAGCGCGTTTGAGATTGCCAGGAGTGCGTCAAAAAGTTGAGCGGCAGCAGTGATTGGCATGACGGTCGCGATAATTGCTCTCACCGCGTCGTCTGCGGTGAAAATAGCCGCGATGACGTGTCGGCACGATGTCAGCAAGATGACATCGAATATCCCAATGCATATAAAGATCAGATAGTGCGTTTTCCAAGCCTTCCGTGCGGCTTTTAACGCCCCATACCCAATGAGATTGCCGAATCTTGTCGACGCTGCGATGGATATAGGAAATGGGATATGATACATGGTAACGACCACCGTCATCAAGACGGACTGAGCTGCAAGGTCTGGTTCACTCAAATACCCGGCCGCAATCGTGAGGATGTCGAACGCAAACCACTCCGAAAAGGTCATGAGGACTCCCGGGATGGCCAATTTAATCATGGGACCCCAATTCTGGCACGCTCGTCGCAAGTCCAAGCCTGGCCAACATTGCAAGTTCGAGGGAGCAATGTAGGCAACGTACAGTGCCAGGACAATTGGCTGGAGGTTATTGGAAATGACCACGGCCCAAGCGGCACCGGCAAAGCCCAGGTTGAAATGGAACACTAGGAGCCAGTTCCAAAGGATGTTCAAGGGAGCGCAGACCATGACAACCACGAGGGAGGCAGTAAAATCACCCTGAGCCTGACACAGGCGCTTTCCGGCTTCAAAGATGGCCCAAGCCGGGGCACCAGCCAAGTAGATGCGCATGAAAGTACCAGCCAGGTGAGCCTCGTCTTGTTCGGGCACGATCGCTGACAGGATCCAGGGAGAACACATCCAGATGGCACCGATCGGAATGGTGACCACACAAACCAGGAGACTCATGCGTTGCACATGTAAGCCTACCAGATGCTTCTTGTCGTTCCCAAATGCCTGCGACGTTAGAGTGTCAAGACTGGTGGCGAGTCCCTCGTAGACGCACAGTCCCGTAATATTGGCTGTCATTGTGGCCAGGGAGGCTGCTCCCAATTCCTTGGTCCCCAGGCGTCCAGCAACGTAGACGGTGACCAAGCTAAAGGAGTATTGCAAGATATAGGTCAACATCAGGGGACCCGAATATCGAGCTAACAGCTTGGTTTCTGTCTTCCATGTCGTCTCGAGATCAGGACCCTTGAAAAGAGAGGACTCGTCCTCGTCAGTCGTGCCGTATCTTCTCTGATCGATCTGTTCAATAGATTTCCGGAAGTCATCAATGCCGTGGTCATTGAGAAGAGCACTGGTCTCGGAGGGGCGCCGTCCGGCCATCTTTGGTGTAACGTGAGGGGAATTCTCTGAGTGGGTGGAAATACCGGTGCGGCAATAGTACCGTCTCCCTTCGCTCAGGGACGTTGACTATCTGATATCATAGCCGAAAAGAAAGGTGTATGCTGGATGGGAGCCCGTGGAGAGGGGAGGGCGTCTTGGTTGAATCACCAACGAAAGGAGGACGTTGTTGGATGGACTCATTGTGCGAGAGTGCTGCCGGAGGATTGCTGGGCGGTGTGTGGATCAACAATCGGCTTGCTGCAGAGGGGCATGGGGAGCAGCCTACCGTGTAACCGGGCCATCTTGTCAATGGCGCCATCGCTTATGTAGGCGAGTGGCTGGGTTATCGAGGAGATGAGCGAGGTGAGCAAGACGATTTCCCATAGCGCTCGTCTGGTCCTGGCCTGCCCTGCAGGTCATCGACTATGGGGAAAAGGACTCGTGGGCCACGGACTTGGACGATGGTTCGTATTCGGTCGTTGTATGTAATTATGTATTATTGCTGCTGATTGTGATGCTTGGAAGTGCCTGCGGCAGCATGCCAGGATCACGCGTCAGATCGCGTCAAACAGGCACCGCAGTTAGTGGACATGGCGGGGTCCTTCAGCCAACGACTGCTAGACTCGTGGCTGGGTTGTGCTGGGTTTTGCTGGGCTGCAACACCAAACACCAAACACCAAAGCTGAAGGTTTCTGGCCATTCTCACTCGCCCTCAAGACATGGAATAATTCCAGCTCCAAGCCCTTCTACGCGTCGTGCCCTGCATCCCACCAGCTGCGCACTCCGTCTCTGCGTCTCTGCTTCACCCGCTTCCCATCACGTCCTACAACAATGACTGCCGCCTCCATCTCCCCTCACAAAGTCGCCAGTCGCAATGTCTTTCTGCCCACTCCCTCTCCCGACCCTGTTTCCATCCGGTTGCCAGACTCTCCTGAGAAGAATAATTTGACCTCCAACGAAAGATCTCGTGGTCTTCGTCGCCTGCAGTCCCACAATCAGTTGTCCTCGACCAGCAATATGGGCACCCAGTCCTCTAACCTGAGACCTCGGTCGGGAGTCTCGATGAAACCCTCACGCGAGCAGCTCAGTCTCCCTCAGCCCTCTGCGACACAACCGCATAGCACCGTTACAAACACGGCCAGCTATTCTCGCGCCCGCGCAAACAGCGATGCTCCGCTCCCGCATGTGCCTCGCAACCGCAAGCCGCCGCCTACACTTCTCTCAAATCCCTCCTCTAACCACATTCTCACCCATGCCCGCAAGTCGAGCCTTGAAATGACCCTTCGTGATGGTCCGCCGCCTGGAACCAACGCTGCTACCGCCCTCTCGTTGCTCCGTCACTCGATCCTCACCAGTGGTGTCAATGCAACCAAAGAAGGCATGTCCGATTATCGAATATATCTGTGGTTGACTCTTCTGAATATTGGACCTCTCTCGACGGACACATACCTCGCCCTCATACACCGAAGTCGCAGTCCTGCATACGAGAAGATCTCCAACGATGTCTTCCGCACGTTAGCGACTGACACACTCTTCAAGCGGCGCGTGACAGATGCGAGTTTGACCAGGCTGTTAAATGCAACCGCCTGGCGAATACATGATGAACAAACCTCTGATCCTCCATCCGAGTTTGCTCAGAGGTATCCGCAATCCACCTACCTCCAGGGCATTAACGTGCTCTCGGCACCTCTCCTCTATGCATCTCGGTCGGAAGCTCAGGCGTATGCAATCCTGACAAGCCTACTGACTGAGCATATCCCGACCTACCTCTCCCCGACCATGTCTGGTGTCCACCGAGGACTTGATCTCATTGACAGAATCCTGTCAGAGATCAATCCGACCCTCTCATCCTACCTGCTCAGCAAGTCCCTACCAGCCAAGATCTACGCTTTTCCTTCTGTGTTGACACTATGTGCCTGCACCCCACCTCTTCCAGAGGTTCTGAAACTATGGGATTTCCTGTTCGCGTTTGGCGTGCATCTGAACGTCATCTGCGTCGTTGCACAGCTCCTATTGCTGAAGGACAAACTACTTGGAGAACCCAGCCCTGCCAAGATGCTGCGAAGTTTCCCGAACCTGAATGCTGACGAGGTGATTAAAATGACCGTGTGGATTGTGAGGGAGCTGCCCGAGGAACTGTACCGCGACGTGGTTATGCATGGCCGTGAAGTTTCATAAGAGGCACCAACGACCAACCCCCAGTGAGGTTATTCCTATGCTCTCTACGGAGGGAAAGGGCCGTGGACAAGTGCAGGGAGGATCGCCTCAATTGACGTCCGATTCAGCCGCACGTCTAACGTGACTGACGCAATCCGCGGCGCAGACACCACCTCGACATTCGACTCAGCCTTGAACTGGTTAGGTGGTTACCTGCAGCGACCCCATGGCTATTCAACCAGATTATGAGATATGGCGCCGAAGCTTCAACGACTGTACTGCCTGACATCTAACCAGCACTGAGGGAGTTTTCACCACTTCAAACCGCAATACTCAATGTACTGAAGCGGGAAATCCTTGGAAATGCTGGAAATTCATGTCTCCTCCTTCGTCACATCCTGCACTGTTCGGTTCCAACCATACTTTCACTCGGGTGGCCGTTCTATGGGTTTTATTCGCAGGAGAAGTCACGCTTGCATTTTTGTTATATTGGGTATTAAGCATTTATGAATGAGGAGAGGGAAGATGAACGGATGTACCAACAACCTTGACGATGGAAAATGAACGACCAAGAAAAGAAGAACGAGATGTTTTAGAACTGTAGGAATAGTGTTTTTCTCTTTCTTTTCTTCGGGAGCAAGGATCGTTAGGAAACAGTCAGAACGTGACACAAGCAGTCAAGTCAAAGTCAACAAATATATGAAATATTCATTGATCAAAAATCCCCCGTCGGGAAGTCTCTGTGTGTTTCCCCCCCAAACTGTCACAGACCTTGCAGTGTTCCTACCGACTCAGGTATCATTGATTGCAGAGAGAAACCGGTTCTTGATTTGTCTAGGAAAAGACACCTGTTAAGTAAAGGTCCATGGTAAACATCCTGACTTCCCAGCTCGCCGTGCCGTTTTGGACACGCACAGCTCTCGTAACTTCTTGGCTCGCGTCTCTCTAGGTTCATTCAGTTTGTCTTCATCGTCCGAAGCTGGTGTTGGTGGGCTTTGTGGCCGAGAACGGGGACCAGATATATGCGATCACCACGGGAACGAGTCTTGTGCTTCTGACAGGTCTTGCATTCCATCATGGATTGTTCGATAGAGCCAGCTGACTCGCCCTCGTCCTCGCCGTGACGTCCAGTTCTCGTCCAGCCTGTAGCAAATAACGCTCTTGAGTCTGTTTATCTCTCCCTCTCCCTCCCTCCCTAGAGCTCGGCACCCTGCCATGATAACATGGGAGAAAGGGGCACTTTTTAATGCTTCATATCCCCGTTGGCATCGCCGTTCAATTTGAAGCCGCCGTCCAGGACCCCGAGACCGGTCTCGCTCCTCCTCAGCTTCCTGCGGCCCCAGACCTCGGCGGCCCACTCGGCCAGCTGGAACATCCAGCCTCCGCCCACCAGCACGCCGCTGATGACGTTCACCAGCCTGACCAGCAGGCCGAGCAGGCTCGCCCGGTTCTCGCTGACGATGAGCAGGATGGGCTCGATGTCGTACTTGAAGAAGATGCCCGGGACGGTCGACGTGGGGACCTCGCGGGACTGCGACTGTGCAGCGTACTGGTTCGTGAAGATGGATTTCGTGTCCCGGCCTTGTTCCGGGTGCGGGACGTGGCGTATGATTCCGTCCTTGTCGCGCTTCGTGTTGGGCGTCAAGTCCAGCGTGGGAGGCTGCGGGAGTGCGGCGGGATCCAGGCTGCCGCTCTTCGTGGAGACTCGGCGTTTCGTGAAGATCGTGGGCACGATCGAGAGGTAGTATTGATAGCGCATGAAGTGCGCCTCCGTGGTGTCGCTCGTCCTGTCCAGCGGGTTCAATAGGTTTGGGTAGTGTGGGCCGAAGCTGAGCTCATTGATGTGGTGTGAGAAATTGAACAGGTTGTGGTCCAGGTGTGACTGCATTCCGAACTCCATATATCCATGTCCGCGCGCCGTGATGTGGAAGTCGCCTTGCACTTTATTGCCCTCGAGGGACCCGTAGATGCGACAGCTGTCGACCGGCATGTGTTTCTGGAGCTTGGGCGACCGGGCAAACTTGCGGCCCTTGTTCTCGCGCATGTGTCCTAGGACGTGGCCGACGTGGGAGTCTTCTTCCTCGGCTTTCTTCCTTTTCCGGTCTCCTTCGTGGAGACCGTGGTACATCCCCTGCTGCATCTTCCTCAACCGAAACAGCTTTCGCGGGTCCAGCCAGAGCTCGAAATTCGTGTCCTCCTTCTTCAACAAGTCGCCCGCCATGATCCGATCCATCGCTGCATCCTGCACATTGACGTGTAAATCGCGACACGGCATCGCCACGACAATGTCCAGGTTTAACTGGAGTTCATGGCCCACGCCGCCCTCGACGCTGAAATGGTGCGTTTCGGTTCCGGCCCACCATGTGCGCAGCTCCGAGGCTGTCAGGCACAGACATAGTATTATAAGGGCGAGGGTCCATTGACCACCGCGAGCGGTAGCAGAGGTGTAGTTGGGCTTGGTTTTGGCTACAAGGAAGCGGTGGTCAGTGATGGTGGTCCCTCTGCATTGAACTCAGCGAGAACATGGAGCCAGATTCAATAACAGAAACCCAAACGTCTCTCAGAGGAATTGCAGAGGCACTCACGAAATGCATCAAACGTCCTCAGCCCTGACAAGCCCTTGTCCCCAAACGCTGACTCGTCAAACCCGTGTTTCTCGAAGGAGGAGTCCATGGCCCGTTGGATGTTTATGTTTTATTTTATGAGAGCCTTGACAGCTCTTGTATTGTAGTGCACGACATGTATGGGATAATTGCGAAGAGACGGCTACCGATTCGACGGGACGGGGGGGCGGTAGTAGTGCGTGTACTCGGCGCAGTGTAATGGAATGAATGGGCAAAAAGCTGAGGCTCGTTTTGGCCAGATCTTATGTTATGCAGGGTGCAGCCTCGCGCCGTTGTCTAAAGTGGGCTTCGGTTCGGCGCTAGGAAATTAAGACTGTATCGACAACAGAATCGAATCAATCACCAAGATACGCTACATGGACGTTGATGTGGCTTGAAAGGAAGAAATATAACGTTCTTTTATGCTAGCATTTCTCGTCAGAGTTCGTCATGTGTCCTCTGCTGCCTGGGTTCCACATCTCCCCTGCTATGCAACGCTATGCTATGCCATGTCTTCATGAACTGCATAATAACAATGACTGCTTGCTCGGTGGGTATCTCTAAAAGGCGCCGCCTCCAACGATCCCGTAATTCTTTCGTATGCACTTTCCGGGGTGAGGTCTCGTTGTTCCTGACTCCATACTAAAATCAATTCGAATGTTGCGTGAGCCCTCTGGCGCGTCTCCTGCGCGCAACCCGGGTGTGTATATGTGTGTGTGTGTGTGTGTGTGTGCTCTGGACAAAATGTGCCTCCCAAATCATTCTTCAATGGGTTCCAATGAGAAGTCCGCCCTTCGTTCCGCTCCACAGACCGACCATCGTTTTCTTTCCTTGTTGCTCCTCAGATTACCCCCTCGAATGTCGAGCGAGCTTCTTCGCCGCAACTCGGCGGCATCTCCATCCTCCCCCCTCAACTTGGCTTCCTCTTCCTCAAGGATCGCCGCCTCTTCCGCATCTGGCGCGTCCTCGATTGTCTCCAACGAGCTGATGGACGGCGATCGAGACCGCAGTGAGGTTGGGGTGCTGGGCATGCTTGAAGCAGAGCTGAGAGAGTATATCGGGTATGGCTCGTAGGTGTACTTCTGTGGGGCAAAGGACGGCAATGGTGATGTTCTGCCGGATACGCTAGGGCTCATCGCCCTCGCATAGAGCGACGGGGCACTTGCACTTTGGTGAAGCGGCTGTACACCCCGCCGCCGCGCTCTTGGTAACGTGTTGGAGAAGGATGACATAGGCGAGGGTTGAGACTGATCCGTGTCTCCTGTCAATTCAAGCTCTTCATTTTCCGGTATGTTTGGTTCGATACTGAGGCCGCTCCATGATGGCACGCCAGGATATGCCTCTTCCACAGCTGCACGTAATGGGCTGCTTCTTCTTCCTGAATGTAGAGGTGAAGACGGTCTTCTCGGGACACCGTAAGGAGTAATGTACCGGCCCGAAGCGTCAACACCAGGCGATGAGTGGGCTCTTTGCATGGGCGGCGCGTTGGCCACACCTCCTGCCGATAGTGGCCTCACCCTTCGGGGTGGACTTGCAGCACGAGGCCTGGAGGGCGTGATGTTATGTGAGAGATAATGGGCGTGTTTCGGAAGTGTCTCGACACTCCTCGACGGGGATGATGTAGGTGAAGGACAGGGGCTGGGTCCAGGTTCGAGATCCAAAGGAGACGGAGGTAACTCGATATCTTCTGCTCGAATTTCGGGGGAGGAGTTGAGGGAAAGGTTCGCAAAGGCTCGAGTGTCGGAGGTGGCGGAGAGGTTCAACGGAGGGTTTGTCAGCGGCGACATGGTGGATGCGGGAAGGACTCGGTAATCCAGGATATTGAGTGATGCAATGATTCAGCTGAATAAGAGAGCGAAGTTCGACATAATCGTGCGTTCGAACAGTAAGGGGTGTAGAAGGGTATGGTTAGATTTCCGGAAACCTGTAGAATCACCAAGCGATCCGCTTTGTCGGCACATTCAAAGTGCTCGCGGTGTGCTTTTGTGCCAGCATCAGCACGAAGTCCCAAGGAAGGATAGAAACCCAGCAACACTCGAGGCACAGAAGCCTCTGAGGTTGCTGGTAGAGGAGGTTTGGGATGGCAGGTGGTTTGATCAAAGAATGCTCAACGAAAGAGTAAAGGAGGGAGGGAAGAGGAGGCTGTACCAGTCACAAAATTGCGGAGGTGGAGATTGGTTCCAGCTGCGGCGCTTTGGTCGGGAGGAGTCCAGATTGGGGGGGGGTTGTGATTGGGGAATGTGATGTGATGGGCTCGCCCAGCGATAATGTCAGGGCCCGGGTTTAACTGGAATTTAGCGGCCAGACCTTAAACTTGACTGGGTAGTCGCGCTGCAGTTTACCGCTTGGCCTACGGGCTTATTGGTGCTCGCAGCCCCCTTGCAGCTGTTGTGCATTTTATCACTTTCGGCTTCGTGTGGACATGCTTTTGTGTTTTCTGTGATGGACCTTTTTAACAGAGCAATCTGCTACACGAAGTGATATTCCACTTTATACGATTTACACGACCCGAACCGAGAGCCTCCTACCTCATCGACACCAATACGACATCAACTCTGCTGCGGATGACCTGAGGTGACTGGGGCTGGAGAGCTGTTTTCAGCTGCCGCTCCCCTGCGTCCAGAATCACCCCGTCTACCAAGAAACCACGCCATTTGGGGTTCGCATGTTTTGTTTCCAGGGCCCACTACCATTCCTTTCATAGGTATCATTTCCGACCGTTCCCACGTGCAAGTCTGAGCACATCCTCAGATCTGGCAACCCGAAACGGCTGTGTTCGGCTTACGGCTGCCTGAAGTGGCTGGCCTGTACAGCACATCGAGACGGTGCCGTGTTTCATATTTTCAATCAGATCTGATTCTTCAGCTGTCGGCTACTTCCTTCCAACCGCTACCCGCCCACGCCTAGAGATCTGTCAGTCGTGAAACGATGCAGGGCAATTCGTGATTTTCTCGACGATCCTTCCGAGGCAAGGACGTTCCCGCTAATTAGCCTGTCTGCTACAAGAAAAGGGGGATCGCTATAAGCCAGCGAAGTTGGTATTGTCTTTCTGACTTTGGCTTGCTAGAAACACCCGCGTGAGAGGGGGTTTCGCCAAGTCCGATCAACTGCAGCGACATTCAACAAGAGATTCCATCGAGGTCGAGCTGCGTCGACACAGTAACAGCAGGGCAAGCAAGATACGGTCACCCATCGAAGCTCCAAACTATCAGAGGCACTATTCTCAGCCGACACCAATCCTAATTGGAGGCTCTCAATGGCTAGCTATTCTCGTGCCCTGTGACGATCTGCTCCTTCGACGTGCAATAGGCAAGAAACTCAATATTTGACGTGGATTAGAGCCTGTTAGAACGATGAACAACTTGGAACTCGTGTAATCATCTATGCCTCCAGGAGAGTCTCGTTGCACGAACATCTGACCAGGCAAAGCTCAGCAAGGGGGGTCGAGTGTCGACGCCGAGCGCGGCATGCAGGCGTCTGACTCCCAGAAGACCGTCTGCGAAGCAAAGGCTGAACTTGGGAATACCTCCCATCTCGTCCAAGGCGCGAGGTCTAGGGCATCAGCGCCCGTGTTCAATCCCCGATCTCGTCAAGGAACACGATGATGACCTGTCAGTCGACATGAGCATATTTGTGGCGAGCAGCAGGAGCAGTAGCAGCAGGAGCAGTAGCAGCAGGAGCAGTAGCAGCAGCAACGTTGTTGCAGAGTTTCCAAGCGCTTAAAATCCATCGAAACTTAACAGTGCGTAGGCGTGAAAATAGGACAGGGAGACCTGCACCGATTAGAGTATGTTTCAAGCCTCATTCTTTTTCGTTGCCGCCCAAGTGGTGGCAAAGGAGAGATTCTTTCGGTGTTTGCCGAGAATCTTCTTCACTGGTTTCACTTTCGATGAGGCCCCGTTCTGTTCAAAACACGGAACCTCGTTGCCCATGCCTGAGAGGAATACAAAGTACCGTTCCTTCAGCGCTTGAAACTCGGACGAGGTCGTGCTCCCCGAGATATGCTCCGGAAAGGTTTGGGGTAAAAGATTATGCTACTAAAAAGAGGCAACACGCTACGGACCCGGCCCGGAGTTAAGCAGTATAGAGTGCGCTTTTTGAGGGAAAGTTTTCAGTCTTCTTCCTTCCTACAAGTCGGATAGCAATGCCGACCTCTTCATATCGGCATAGCGAGGGCTGGAGACCGTATGACCAAAAGTCTCGGATCCGGCAATCACACAGACGCAGCCTTTTTCGCGGAGGTCAAAAGGGCAATCCAGTCCCACTTGATCTCGCCGTCGCCGTACTTTTGCTTCATGTAAGAGATCACAGCCTTCGTCGCACGGTCTTTGTAGCTCTCCCGTTGCTCCGCGGTCCATGTTCGCTGCTGGACCAAATCCACCATACTAGCCACGAAGCGGGTGAGCTGATCTACGCCACTGAATATGCTGGTATGGGGCACCTCTCGCACATCCACGTCAACGAAACCAGACGCTGCAACGCTGTCCCTGATCCAGGCCACGTCACTCCAACCACCGCCTGAATTGATCAAGTCGCAAAGTACTCCTGATGGCGGCCACGGGGGTATCTCCGGGTCTGTGGCAAAGGAGTCTCTCACGTCGTCGTACCAGCCGAGACTCTTCCACGAGGACATAGCCAAAGTGCCGCCAGGCTGCAAAATCCGGTGGAGCTCGGCCATGCCGACCTTCCAATTCGAGAAAATCATGGGTCCAAAGTTGAGCAGAACATGCGTGAATTTGTTGCTAGGGAGTTTGGTGTCCATGGCATCTGCCTTGATGACCTGGGCACATTTGACTCCTAGCGTGCGGACCCGTGGGCCTACGAAGTCGATCATGGTGTCCGAGAAATCTGCGCAGGTGAGGTCCAGGTTGGCTTTCTGATTGTTGTTCAAGGCGCTGACGAGGCGCTCTGATACGACACCCGTTCCACAAGCCTGGTCGAGCACGATCAACTCTGTGTCATCAGGCACTTCCTCCAGCTTTATCTGTTTGATGAGCAGACCGGCAAAGTGCCCGGTCATCTTCTCGGCAGCCTCCGCATATACCTTCGTGAAGTTTGCATTGTTGAACATTGCATGCATCCCTGGGTTGTCGTGACTGGCCATGATGCTGTTCACTGTTTGATAGGTAAGGCTCAAGACCGTCTGATCGGGTTTGATGCAGGATTCGTCGAAGTAGACTGGTGCTCGAATTTCGGCAAGGGCTCATGCGGTAGGTTCACGCTCACTTCTTGGTGATGCCACAGCAGCTCTTTTGATGCATGAAACACCAAGGCTCAAAGCTGTGCTCGAAGAGCCGAGCCAGCTGTTTAAATGTAGCATCATGGCCAGCTCGGTTGGTCTTGTCGGAGACATAAACAAGATGTCCCCGAAGGAAACATATGTGCATTAGATGGTTGCCTGAGATGGCGCGATATGAGAAGGGTTGCTGTCCTCTGGATGTGTCTTAATCTTTTGCAGTATGCCAAATGGGCATTCAGAAAACCTCACTTGTACCTGTACCTGCCTCAGGGTGCTGGTATTATTGTGTGACATCATCTCGTCGTTGTCCTAAGAATCGCAGAGCAATGCGAATTTCTGAGGACGGAGAGAAAAGAAAGGACAACCTGTGCAGCTTTCCAATCGACGAATAGGAGACTTTTGTGCTTGGCTCGCGATACCTGCCCTTGTTGGCCGGTACGTCACTACCTTTATTTTCGGTATCTCCCCGACGCGGTTGGTTCACTTTCCTTTCTAACTCGTCCAAACCCAAATATCACCCTGACCCATGCCCAATGATAGTCAGGCCGGTGGTCTGAACCGGTATCTCATTCTTTTACTCATATAAAAAGCGGAGAGACACTGGAACGGAGATCTGGCCGATAAGCGCCATGACTAATGTGCCATGCCTACTAATATCCCCAAGCGAACCCTGTCCCCAATCAAGGCAAATTCTGCTTCATTCCTCGACGATGCTTCAGCAGCAACGTCCGGGAAGGCGCCGCAGAAGATTCAACTAGATGCAAAAGAACCGACAAGGCTGGAACCGGGACCGGCGTCTCACCGCGCCACAAGCGATACATCTGCACGACTTCCCTGTGACCCGTCAAAGCCTCGTGATTCTGGCGTTGCCACGAAGACTAGTACGAGGCCAACAATTGCTGCTGCGCGTGGTGGCCATTTAGTGCCCGGTCACTCTAGGAGCCAGTCATCAAGTTACGCAAACACTAGACGCCCTACTCCAAGCGCGCCTAAAGTGGCAACTGCTACGGCGTTTTCGCGCTCGCAGCATGCCCCCTCGGCCAAGGGTTCGGGGGACACCAGGTTGCCAGTTTCCAGGTCGCATCACAGAGCCTTGAGTGCATCCACACGGCCGAGACCAAACAACGACACTGGGGAAAACCCCCAGGAAACCGTCCACAAGGCCAACCGGCCGGTCGCCCCTCATGTGCTTTCTGGAGGGAGTGCATCGTCCGCCTCCGGTAGGCCAATTGTGAGACCAGGCAGAAAGCCAGAGTTAGTGGCCTGTGAGCAACATTCCGTTCCCAAGAAGCATACGACAAAATCAACCGCGGGCACCTCGCTTTCGCCCTTGGAATCCCAACACGTCGCGGTACGCTTCGGCTCCGCAGCCCTCGCCATACAAGGCACAGAAGCTGCACATCTTGAAGACGAATTACTCCAATTGTCCCTTGTACACGAAAAGTCTGCGGCCACTCTCCAGTGTTACGAGGCATCTATGAAGTCGCAACTGAAGACGGGGCTCGAAGGTGTGGCACATCAGCTAAGCACCCTCAGGTCCCTGCGGCATGATCGACAAGCGAACATGAACGCGTTGGCGGTGAGCCGGTGGCTCGACCAGGAACCGACCCGTCACCAGGGAGACCCTGCAGGGTCAGACACATTGCTTTTGCTGTCGCGATGCCTGGAAGAGTTGCAAAAGATCAGCAGTGTCCATGGACCACTGGAGACTGCCATGAAGCTATTTGACGAGTGGCACGCCTACGCGTCTTCCACACGCCCGACCCATGTCGGAGATAATCTGTTTCGTAAGGATAATAGCGAGGAGAAAGCACACTGTCTCCACTCATTGGACCCACAGTGGTCAGCCTTGGTGTCATCTGTGGACGACCGGGTCAGAGCCTGTGCGGCTTTATTGGCGGCGCTCCATAGGTCCCCCGGGTCTTCGTCAATTGGAATGTTGATTGAGATGCACCGCACGCTTGCTGAGCAGATACAGCAAGAGATTTGCATTTGCAGGACGGTAGAAAGCCTGATATTGCGGCAACAGCAAGAGCGTCTTGCGAGGGACGTCGAACAAGCTCTGTCTGACGTGGAGTTACATCATTCAGGACAAGCTGTCCCTCACACTACCAGGATGGGTATATGGGACCTTCGAGGAAAGGCTTGGGAGCCGCAGCGATAGCACAATAGCAGTTGAGCTCGGAATTAATCCGCTGAACCTGCGAAAGCCAGCGAAACCGGTCACCTCAGCCCCCTATGTTCGCTTGGAAGTTTGGCGTCTAGAAGATTCTTAAAAGCAACCTGGACCTGGATATTGTCTTCTTGGTGCAACCCCCTGTGGGAACACACACTCCCACAAGCGAAGACCTTCTGTAACGAGAAGATGTAGGGCAGCAGGATTCGTATGGGTGCGTTCAGAAAGCCATCTTGAAGGTTTCGAGCAGGATGAGTGATGGAGTAGCAGCTCTACAGCACCGAAGCGAGGTCGTGGGTAGAGTGGCAGTGGGCTTCGAGAAACTATCCCACTGCATATCCGAAATTCTCGGCGACCGGAGGGTGTCGGGATAGTGGAGCTGAACTGGAGTCACGAATCGTGAGCAAAAAGGGCAGCCCCGTTGAGATGCAGAATGACGCCGGTGGACACGCCTCAGGATCGAGTCACCTCACTAGGATCGGATCAGTGATAGGTGCAGACGGTGCACCTGGTCCTGCTGGTTACAGAAGCTTGCCCCTCTTAGTGACCCTCAAGATGCAGGCAAGAAGGTTGAGGGCCCGATCTACCAAGCCTCCCCTCCATTCACCTCCCCAGGGCCAAAGGTAAGCCGCTCCGCTGCATGCAAGTGGAGAAATGCCGACGTTTTGTTTTTGCCGTCCACGTCGAAGGGCTGGATGAATAATACGCCCCCCTTACTCCTCTTCGGCCCGAGTAAGGTGCAGTGACTTGTATCAACAGCACTGTTTTTTTTTGCTATTGCCCGTTACTCACAGCAGACAAGGTCCTCTTACTGGCTTGTGTGCAGGAAAAAAGCTTCCACCTAAACCTCCCCCCTCGACCATGGCTGGAGATCGTGATTCGTCATCCCATCTCTGACAGGGATCCGCAGCGGTCTCGGGTGCTTTTCTTTCTCTTTCTAGAAGGAGCAAACTGAGTGTCTTGCTCTATGGTTCTGCGGGCAAGCGGCGACTCCAAGAGGCGTCGTGGTCGGCAGGCAGAGGTAAGGGCGCCGTATTTGCTCTGCCGATCTCTGCCCGATGGGTGTTAGGTTTGTGAAGGGATTCTTTTCGTCCGCAAACTGGTGATGAAAAGTACGGAAAAGGACGAAGAGAGCCATGATAACGTTGGATTTTCTTGGTCAAGGGTCTGCAGGCCTCGGCAAGCATTCGGTGTGTCTTGACCCGTGATATTCCTCCAAGACTTGCCTGTCTAGTCTCGAGGATCAAAAGAGTTGGATGATAGACATATTCCATGCCTTGGTCGGTGTTACTAGCATCCACGTGGTGTGCTGAATCGCGGCCTGTACTCGGTTGCCGCTACCTTTCAAGGGGCGTGGAAAGACAGGTGTGTTCAGGCCCATACCGACTACATACCTAGGTAGCTGGTATCCATCTGTACATGCCTCACTTGGTGCCATCGTTCCCTCTTCTGCTCGCCAAGCCCCGGGGGATGGAGCCCCTGTCCCAGTGTTCACTGATCGATTTAGTCAACAAAATGGGTCGTTGCTCAGTCTCGTGCACGGTTGGGCGGCCGCGCTTGGCTCCGGAGGGGATGGTAGGAATCGGGTTTAGTGGCTAGCTTATCTAATTTTGTGGTCAACTGTAGTCATCGGAAAACTGGAGCTGGAAAGGTTACAGCTCACGGTAATCGAGTGCGAGCTGTGGCAATTGATCAGGTAAGAATCCCGGAAGCTGGCTACGGTTGGCACCAGCTGGATGCTTGCAGAGGTAATCACCTGGGAGGTGAGTGGGAGGTGGTCCGAGGAGGGAGACAGGTGAGGTGCAGTGGCCAATAACCACCCAGGTACTTCTCGCTGCTCTTACGTCTTCCCAATCAAATGGCAGCAGGTTGCCGCCCTGGAAGCTTTCCCTAGGCTGGGGAACTTCCTAAGAAGGAATTGCATCTACCTTTGGGTATAGGACCCTTCTCTTCCTTGTTCACCTTGTGCATGACAACTCGCTTCTTCCTTCCACCACTTCCCCCCTTCCCCCCATTTTTCTTTCTCCCCCCTAAGATCACGTTATCTCAAGGAATTTCAAAACACCCTTTCCTTGACTCGAAACGTCCCTTACACCGCTTCCCCCCTTCAGTTAGCTTTTGATGTCAGTCGTCGTCGAGGTTGTCTCCGATAGGCTCTCCCTGGTCCATTTCGCCCTGCCAATGACACAACGTCGGCCGCATTCGCATCCCGAACGCACGCCAGGCGTGGCGAACCCAATGGAGCAAGCGCACCTTTTGCAGAACTGCTGAGATGCCATGGGCCACACACTCATCCAAACAGACTATCCACCCTCCATCCCGACACCCTGATGGCCCTCTGCATGAGCGAATCGGAGCTCCCATGGTCCGAGTGAAGATGGCCCTCGAAGACAGAGACACACCACCAGGCTGTTGGTTGCAGTATCGTTCCCAGCTGTGAAACTTTCTCGGCGGGTAGGAGGCTAAACTTTGCCCGTTTGGCGCCCTGCTGGTAAAGTAATAATCCATGCGGCGTCTTGTGCTAAACTTCTTCGACACCAACTACGGAGCACGGTGATCTCTGGATCTTTTCCCACTCCCAAACTTTACTTCCTGCGGGCTGACTCCAATAATCACAGTTGTTGCTCCTCTTTCTCCAATCCTCCTCGATCTCTGCCTTCCCTCATCCAGATCCTCTTTATCCCCTGGTGCCCGCCTCCCACGGTCCAATCGACGATTGCCATCTCTGTTGCCTTCGCCCTGACCTTTGCCCCGATCCTATTTCTTTCCTAGCTGCACGGCGATCCCTCCAACGACATAACATACTACACAGTCTCCCCCCATGCCCGCTTAGGCATGTTGTGGTCCCCATCCTGGCTCTTGTCGCATCCCGCGAGCATGCAATATATCCAAGGATTCGCCTCCCGTGCCCGTCTTTCATGATAAAATCAAGCGGGAAGGTACATACGACTAGACGGCGCCAGAACGAGAAAAAAAAGCCCTCGTCCTAGACCTTTTGGGCTACAATCCTTGCGCGGGCTTGCCACACGCGTCCTCTTCCTGAGCCACTGTCACCTCAAATGTTGCCGTGTACACGCCACCTCCCTTTGACAAAGGACCAGAAGCTGGTGAGAGATTGGTGGAGGTGATGGAGGGTGATTTCTATTCTCCAGATGATCCCGATGATGTGAAGTCCAATCCCTCCATGGCTTCCGGCCTCATCCTGGCCCGTGTCACCAGTGCGCCTGAACCCGGTCGTCGAGTAGCAGGTGGTTCCTTGTTACCGTCATTGCACCAGACCCCCCGAAAACGCGACTTGCCTGTGGAAAAGTCTCACCGGCGACGCGGTGCCGACCGATCATCCCCTCCTGCCCAATACTTCTGGTCTCCTGGAAGCACGAGTCCACGGCCGGAGCCAGAAGAGCCTCCGGACAAACGCCCGCGACTGGATCATACACCGGAAAAGTTAGAAACAGGAGAGGAATCGTCTAAGAGGAGGATGTACCCTCAGGTACGTGAGACTGGTGCTGGCGTGGACCCCATATCCATATCGACGGAGGGTTGGGACGGATACGTTTATTGGTGATCATGACTGACCACCGCCTTTCGCCGCCAGACCAGCTCGTATGTTTACCCGGGAGAGCATCGCCCTCCCGCCCCCCCTCCAGACGACACTGCCCACGATCGGTCGTGGCGCGGATCCTGCGGCAACTGCTCAGATACCGAGTCCCTGGTGCTGGATCTTGTCCATGGACTTTTGGAGCTTCAATCAGAGGTCACTCGAGCTCTGGCGATTTCGACAGGGCGAAAGAGTCCTTTCGAGGTAAGCCCCGGTCCGCCCCATTGGAACGGGAAGTGCTGACGGGACCGAAAAAGTCTATCGGAGTCGAAGTGACTAAGCTAGGCCTCAAACAGTCTCTTACATGGACCCTCAATGAACTTCGGAATACAAATCGCCTCATACAGTCACATGCAGCTACGTCGAAACCGGGGTTACCACCCCTGGCTGATGTCGTCCCGGCCCCATTCGTAAACGACATACGTCGTTTATCGATCCATGGCCAATCTTCGGCGTCTCCCACAAATATAAATGACCCCCGCAAAGCGTCGCTCCCACCAGATATAACTCGAAGTGATGATTACCAACGTCGCCCACCCGAACACCCTGCTATCCAGATGCCTCGATCGTTCGACCAAGGGCTTCCCCCCATCCTCCAAGGGGAGGAGTTGAAACGAAACCCAACCTACGAGCAGACGGCTTCGGGCTCGGGGCAGTCGCCACATGCCTCATCCGTCAGTTCGGTCTTTGGCTCGGGCCAGTCACCCATGCAATCTCAGCCGTCCAGCCGGACGCTGCCATCACCACCAGCCATCCAATATGGGCGGACAGGGAGTTCGGAATACATCCAGTACTCGCCCACGACGACTCAGGCTGCCCACAATGCTCATCTCCAAGACCTGCAACACCAGATCTCGACCAAGACGCTCGCGCTTCAAACCCTGCAGCGTGAACACGATCAGCTGTTGGCCGCCTTTTCGAGGTCTCAGATACGATGTACCGCTCTGGATAAGAAGTCACAGGTGTCGGATCACGAAATCAACACTTTGACCGAGGACAAGATTCGACTACAGCAACAAGTGGAGGCATTGGAGAGCCAGGTCCAGGAACTGGCCAAATCACGTGACGAGGTTCATCAGCAATCGTCGGCGGATGGCGCACAGTGGAGACAAATCGTGGCCATGTCCTCGCAACTGCAACTCAAAGGGGCCGACGAAGCTCGACGGTTTAAGCTAGAGCGAGAGGGGTGGGAGCGAGATCGGGCAGCGCTCCAGAAACGAATTGACGAACTTGAGTCTGGTAAGGAAAGGCTTCCCGAGACGAGGCCGGTCTCTGGTTCCACGACCCCCGTGGCAAACGATCCCATTCTGACTTCGGGCTCTGTTGAGGTTCTTAGAGAAGAGATCGTCAAGCTTCGGCGCCGGTGCGTCGAATTGGAACTAATGCTTCAAGAGCTCGCGGGAGAGGCCGAGCAGATTGAAAGTGCAATTACCGCAATGGAGAACGTTCGAAAATCCCTGACGAGCAAAAAGCGCCGCACGGACGATACTTAGGTGAGGCAAACAATTCGAAAAATAGTCGCGGTGGTGGGCATGTGGTTGTAGGCAAGAGGCAAAACCCCTTGGCCGAGCCTCGAATGGCTATCATGATCCTCTCGATGAGAGACCTGAAGTACAAGGAGACAATCGGTACTCTCTTATCCAATCGCCTCGTTCGCCGTCTCTCATTTTGCCTAGAACAAGGGGATGAAGCCCGAGGTGCATATACAACGATCGGGGACGCTGAGGCTGGCATGCCTTACTCTGTTGGGTTTGCACCTTCCAGGCATGGAAAAGACCCCTTCTCACCCGCCGTCATCAGACTTTCCCGGAGCTATGGGACACCAATGTCGGACGAGACCACGACCCTGGGTCGCCATAAGCCAACCAGCAATTGCCCGAAATGGGAGGAGCATATGGCTGAAAGTGGTGGAGAGAGGGCTCGGTAAACGGCCAGGGACTATTACGTGGGATATGCAGTTCTGTGCAATTACTAGGATTTCACATTTGGTCTGGGCCAAGGGGGTATACCCGGCGGCGTTACAGAAGACTGGGAGTGGGAGGCAAATATGTACTATCAGCATGAAAAGGGTGGGAACCGATCTATCGCGGGGAGCCCTGTCTTTTCGACGAAGCACACCAAGGACGCTTGGGAAAACTCTGGCAGAATTGTTCTGAAATATCAAATGCCTTGCATTAAAGGCTTGACGTATGATTGGAAGGGGCAACTAACCGATGGAGGGATTCATCACACCTCTACCTCGTAGACTTTAGCTTACCTCCTGCATGGGGGAATAGGAGATTGCTGCTGGAGAGAGATTATTCCGGCATGGCACAGGAGGATGCCAATGACAAAGAATGTACGAGGTAAGCAACAGCACAGCCAGCATGAGCAAAGGGATGTACATCGTAACTCATCCAAGCCCGTAATAATGAAGCTACGACTTATGCGTGGTGGCTGCGGGGGGGGGCCACCACCCACGACTAGTGGCACCAAGCACAGCCAAATGAAATCATTTCACTTTCAAGGTCCTGGTGACGCTGGTGGTTCTTTTCCCTCATCTACAGGCTGCACCTCCACCATCACTCAGCATGTCGTAAACACATCTTCTGACTGCGCCTTCATCACTAAGTCCTCTCTTCGCCCCCTTTGCTCTATCTCAGCCCCCGTCTCTTACAAAGAAACGAAGTCGTCTCTCGTTTTCCTCGCAAGCTGGTCCCCTCTCCAGTTCCGGTTCGCCACTGTTTTAGCCGACTCGCCGCCATAATACAGCTCAGAACCACATGCTCCCTCCTCAGTTAGCCTCGTCTGCACGCTTTTGGCCGGCACCGGAAGACCTCACGTTCAAACTGCACCCTCAACCGAGGTCGTCTTAGTCTGCACAAGGCTCCGTATCTTGCATGTGTCAATTCATATCTTCGCTGGACTGGCTTCAGTTGCCCCCCGGCTAAAACGACATGGGCGACACCTTTGACCTGCGGCTACTGAAGCTGTCGTTGGGCGAGACCAGAAGAAATCGGTCCATCAAAACTCTGTACGGAGACAAGGCATGGGTGGATGATTTGGATATTGTCAATGAGCTCGGAGCTCACACCGGCTGCGTCAATGCTCTCTGGTACAGCTTTCCATTGCGTACGTAAGGCACAACATCCCTGCTAATGCCCTGTCTGGCAGTTGGTCGACCGGTGGCAACCTTTTGGCTTCAGGCTCCGACGACACCTATCTCAACATCTGGGATTACAACCCTCCCGGAGGTACGAAACCGTTCTCGCTGAACACAAGTGTGAGCACCGGTCACCATGCAAACATCTTCTCCGTCAAGTTCATGCCCCACACGGGCGACCGGACTGTTGTCACTTGCGCCGGAGACTCCGAAGTCCGCGTCTTTGATCTTGAATACGGCGGCGCTGCCACCCTGAGTAGCTCGGGCGACGCAGGCACAAGGAGTCGGAGGTTCAACAAGTTCTTCCCGAATGCGAAGTGGCTAAATGAAGGGAATACAAACTGTCGGGTGTACCGGAGTCACGCGGACCGTGCAAAGAGAATCGTGACCGAGTCGAGCCCATACCTGTTCATGACCTGCTCTGAGGATGGAGAGGTGCGTCAATGGGATCTCCGGCAGCCGTCATCAGCGTATCCTCCTCCTTCTCGGGAATCCCGTGGTCTCACGCGATTTCGCCAGGGATCCGAAAGCGACAGCGGCGATGCTCCTCCACCCCTCATCTCTTACAAGAAATACGGCCTTGATTTGAACAGTATCTCCTGCGCGCCCAGTCAGCCACAGTATATTGCGCTAGGCGGGGCGCATCTTCATTGCTTCCTCCACGATAGGCGCATGCTTGGTCGAGATCTGGATTCGGAAAAGGGCCAACCTGCCACCCGAAGGCCTACCGTGGGCTCGTCCCAGGACATGGCCATGGCCGAAGCAACTAGATGTGTTAGACGATTTGGACCCAACCACAAGCGCAAGATGGGGCCCCATGATCATGGCCATATCACGGCCTGCAAGATCAGTGATGCCAATCCCAATGAGCTTGTAGCATCTTGGTCTGGAGATCATATCTACAGCTTCGATATCGTCAAGTCCCCCGATGCGAGGGAAGCCGATGCTCGAGCCAACGAGGAGTTTCAGGCCACTCGGCTCAGAAACGTCTCGGACCGCAAGAGGAAGAGGGCGAAAGCAAACGCCTCTTCCAGCAGTCTTGGGGATGCAGCCACTCCCAGCAGGCGTCTACGAAGGGTTCCAGATGATCGGCCAGAAGACGGCCATACTGCTCTCCTCGCGAGGTTTGCTGATGGAGAGTCCGAACTTATCCCAATTCCCAATGCGTCCGAACCTGCCGCTGAGTCACCTTCAGCTCATGAGCTTCTGCTCTCAGAAGCTCAGAGATCGAGCGAGCGAGTAGCAAGATCACTCAGCGCACTGCGCAAGACTTTGTTTGACTTCTCTGCCTCGTTAAGCGTTGATATTTCTGCGTCCATGGAGGCATCTCCCGACCTTACACCCCATACAGCGGCGTTCACTAGTGCCCTTGGCCAATGTGCCTCACTACTTCCCCAAATGGATGACGTTATCCGTACGTGGTCATATCCGATAAACCCGAGTGAGGAGGACGTCACTCTGCAAAACACCTTGAGAAGAAATCGACAGTCGAGCTGGCGATTTGTACAAGCGGCTGGCTGCTTGGCTCGCACACTCGGTGGCCGTCTGCAAAGTCTTGGTGCTGCCTCAGACGTTCGGCTTGCACACTTCGACCAGGTCAGACCTGCTGCTCACGAAGGTAAGAACATCAGCGACGAGTCGAGGTTCTGCTACGACTTCCTGAAAGCGATTCTTCTGTGGTTGGACGGTGGGCAATCCGCCGTATTGCAAGGATTCAAACGGCCACCCAATGTGAGTGCCGAGAGTCCTCGATTTCCTCTCGATCAAGAGGACACTGTGCAGACCTTTGTGCCCAAACTAGAAGGCTACCTCTTGGACCTCGCAGATGACCACACGCCGATCGTGGACCTTGACACAAATCGCTTCGAGCGAGATGAGACTCGTCATGTTTTTGAAAGTCAGAAGTCGGCCGTTTTGGCTTTCACGAGAGCCCTCGGCAACATCGAGTTGGTGGCGAGCCAAGGTATGTCTGAGACTCGAGCGGACCTCTCGAGGCCCGCCGCGACAATACGTGTTATGGATAAGGGCGCGGCGGCGAGATTTTGGGGCGTCAAGGTAGGCCGCTCCTTGCTCATGCGTGCCGCGGAAGGGGTCACCTTCGACTTTGTGAATCGAGCATTTGGAGGAATTCGACTTCATTCGGCTGGTTCAGAGATGGAAGAAGAGCGGCCACAAGAAGACATTGACCCGTACGAGCAGGAACGAGTTGTCGAAGCCATCGACATCGTGAGAACCCAGCCTGGAGAGTCATCATCAATGGCATCACGGCAAACCGCTCGTGAGACCATGGAAGGATCCGTCCAGGTGGATGCTGCAACGGGCACTGTCATAGTCCAAGTCGGAGATGAAGATGAAGACCCCAACGAGAGCGATGGTTCTGATTCAGACGCCTCAGACTCCGACGAAGATGACGACGGTGGGGGAGCTGCCCAACGTTCGTTCTTCCGAAGACGGTTGGGATTTCCCCGGTATGGCGAACGAACTTCGGTGAATCTGCAGGTGCCGTACTCGTCACACACCAAGGTTTACAAGGGCCATTGTAACACACGTACAGTTAAGGACGTGAATTACTATGGCCTCAATGATGAGTATGTTGTCAGCGGCTCGGACGACGGAAATTTCTTTATCTGGGATAGGAAGACGTGCAGGATCCTTAATATCCTGGAAGGAGACGGCGAGGTTGTCAATGTCGTTCAGGGCCATCCGTACGAGCCTATGATTGCCTGCAGCGGCATTGACAGCACCGTCAAAATCTTCGGTCCTGGAGGTGGCAGTCGAGAACGCGAGGCGGCAGAGAAAGGGATCGACATTGCCAATCCCGGCGGAAGTGTCCATTCCTCGCTCAGATTGGGGGGTCGACGAAGCCGTCGCGCTCACCTTGGGGACGACGACAGCGACGAGGGCGAGGATGGAAACGGGGCCGTGTCGTCCAATGGACTCACAAGTCGTCGAGCAATGCATCGCAGCTACGAGATCACCAGTCAGAACGACGTCGAACGGAGGCGCAGTGCAGGAGACACCTTTGTCACGGTAGGTTCCATGGAAGAGCTGTTGGTCAGGGCATGGATTATGTCGAGTCTCCACATGATTTGACACCCGCACGTTACACGAATTTCCCCCAGTTTAGGCTGCAATGACATCTAACTTCTATTGTCAATGCAGGAGGGGATGCTCGCTAGAATCGCTATGGCAATTCAAAGAGGCCAGATGCAAGGAGCTGCAGGGCTAGGTAACGGAGGACCAAATCAAACCATAGTGGTCGATGACAATTGTTTGGTCAGTTCTTCAATGCTCTGCAATTGGTAATGAGTGTCTCATGACTGCTGACAATGACCACGCTTAGATCATGTGAAATGATCATCCGTAACCTTTTGGCTCCCAAAGTCGGCTCGGAGTGGAGGTCTTCGGTAGTTGGGGTGGGAGAACACACTGTGGTCTTCTTTGGCCAGGAAGGGACGAAACTGGAGCGACTCTTACAAGGTGTCGACCCAAGATTCAAGAATATCTCATCTGGCCGTTTTCAGCATCCAGGATGATGCTTGCTTTCCGGAGACTCACCAGGCGAGAATGGACCTTGTCCTTGGGTCGAGGAGGCCTTTACAGGAAATGGCATAGGTAAGGCTGCCTTGCGCGCGTGAAGATGGGCTTTTCTTGGACTATGACTTCAATGTCCTGCCTGTTGGGATCCCCGTGAGTGGGACCTTTATTGCGAGATCACCTCCTATGGGGCCGGATATGAATATAGGGTTGTCGAGTTATCCATTCTTGGTACATATCTCGGCTGCTCACGGGTATTACTGCGTATATGAATGATATGGCACGGCCCCCCATCGTATTTCGTTTCCACCATTTTTGCGTACCTCGTAATTCATCGTTTCCCCAAAAAGGGGCCCATTGATTATTACATGTTGACGGGCGTGAGGATGATGATCCACTCTGAATGGATCTGGTTGGAATCTTTGTTCTCTTACCCGCGCGCTCTTCCCCTAGCCTTCGTCTCCATGGTAAGGGGGGTTAAGGAACCAGAAAGGGGGGCAGGAAACATGACAGGAGCATCGCCGGGACCAGAGATGATTGTGCTCGTCATCGGCCTTGGTAGATGTGTGTGTGTATGTGTGGCGTACATTCATTCGTAAGTAGGTAGGTCGTACTACCTATCCATCATGCATGAATTATAAAAGCCTTGTTGGTTGGTTGGTCAACCGGCTGGCTCGCCGCACATCCTCATCCAGACATCCAGACATCTGCACATCTGCACATCGCGGCTTTTCGTACCTATGACAGATGCTCGACGGTCGAGATTGATTTACCGCCGCCGGTATGCATATACTCCGGACGGAGTCATCGTTGTGAGAAACGAGACGGTCAGCACCAGGACCAGGGCCAGGGCCAGGACTAACACTACGATGAGGACAAAGGAATGGCTCCTCGCTTATGGGGCGTGTGTGTCTGTATGTGAGTTCTGAAGATAGATACATGGATAGCTAGCTATGTCGTACAGTAACTCCATCATACTCCGTCATATACATACATACACTCCTTGATTTGGTCGCCGACTTTCGAGTACGGGCAGACTATCCAGCGCTTTCGGAGGGATCAGGCTGGGACGAGTCATGGGTATTATGGATATGAACAGGAATATAGGAATGTTCCGCCTCGCTTATTCATACAAGGACTCTTCCACCAGACGAGTAATGGGGCCTGATGAGTGGGCAGAGAGCGATGTGCTCGAGTCCCTAAAGGGAGGGAAGGGGGAAGAGGACGAGGTCTGCATCTATTCTCCCCGTTGGGACAAAATGGGGACAAAGTTTGTGGGCGGGAAACAGAGGGTGCAACAGATGCATTGGCAAGGGGAAACTCCCGTTCACTCGACATCTGCTTTCATCATTGCATTGTTCCCTCCCTCCCTCATCTCTTCTGCGTGGCACGTCCGAGGCTCATCCCCACCTCGACATCCATCATGATCAAGTGGCGGCTCACGCTGAGGAGGTCCTCGTCGAACTGGATGCGGCCCTCCTCAAAAGCCACGATGATGCTCGAGCCGCCGAACTGGAACAGGCCGACCTCGTCGCCCTTGCGCACCAAAGACCCGGCTTGCTGGCACTTGGGGTTGATCTCGACGGTGCCGACGTTGGTTGCCCCAATGGCCACAAATAGCACCTTGCCGAATTCCTGCGAGTTGATGCACACGGCGCACCGCGCGTTCGTGGTCAAAATGTCGATGTCGCTGCGCAGGCACAACGGGTCCACCTGGTAGTATTCGCCGGGGATCTGTTTGTACCACTCGATTGTGCCGTCGACGGGGGAGTGGTAGCGGTGGTAGTCTTGGGGCGACAGGCGGAAGCTCGCGATGGCGCCGTTGTGCCATGATCTGGCGGCCTCGTCGTCGCAGATCAGGTTGCCTATGGTGAAGTTCCGCCCTTTGATCCAGAGCTGCTTGGTCTGGGCGACGGTCGGGTAGACCACCAGCCGACAGTCGGCAACGACCACAGCCCGTGTGGGATCGTCCGGTTCGAAGATAGGACGAGAGCCAGGCTTGTGCTGTCGGACGAAAAAGTCCTCAAAGGTGCGATATTCGTGGATGTCGGAGGGTGTGAACTCGTCCATGTTGACGTGGTAATAATCCACAAAGGCCTGGATCTGACGTGCAGACGCCGGGGTGCCTTCTTCTTTCCCTATTGCACGTGGTACTTGTTTAGCATCAACTGAAACTTGCAGAAGGCATATGTCGGAAAAACGCTCTGCAGCACGGCATGGGTTTCTTACCTGCTTTGATGGTCTTCTCGTGGATCCAGAGCCGGATCAATTGCGTGCGGTCCACCCATTCAATAGGACGGCTGAAGAGGATCCAGAGCTTGATCTTTTTCCATATGGGCTGTTGTTCGCGCTCATAGCGGCCTGTTTTGCGATTCAGTGTCTTCCAGCCTACCTGCCCGGTTTGGACGAGTTTGGCTGTCGACAGTGCATGGTCGAGGATTTGATGGATCCACTGCAGGATGAAGTCGAACATCGTTGTCGTGTGTATAATGCTGTGAGTGAGTTTGACGAAGATACATATCACGGCTTGAGCAATAAAAAGTATCAAACAAACCTGTTGTCGGATTTCGTCTCCGAACCCGACTTGTGCTGGAATCATGTGACGTCATAGCTCTGACGTTAGTTGCGGTGGCCTCTGAGAAGAGCCTGTATGAGAGTAGCACCGCTAAAGTAGAGAGGAACATGAGCCTCCAGTCTGATCCGAGATCGCTAGGGTAGTGCTGGTGATATATATCCCCTGGGCTCCATCGACCATGCTTTGCCCCTGACTTTTGCCTAGATTCACACCAGGTCATCCGTTCTGCAATCGTGCACATGCGGTGGTGGTGATGGTGGTGGTGGTGCCTGCGGATGACAACAGCTTTGCCACATCACAGGCCTTCTAAGTCACAGTGGAGATCCGAGGGGCCATTCAGGCACATGCACATGTACCTCGGACTGAATCACAAACAAGCATCGACGACGAGGTCGTGGTTGAGTTTCTCGATTGAAGCGGCACCCTCTATTCCAATTCGGGATTAGTGCCATTGTTCACAGCCTTTCGCCCTGAAGCCGCCAAGCAAATCAATTCTTTGGTTCACGGCGATCAACAATCATATTATTTTCAATCTTGAAGGCCAAAACGATTCTTGCGTTCTGTCAATTGCAGTTTTCTGTAGGCAGTCATCATGGAAGACAGTCCCGTTGACTTTCTGGCAGAATTACCCCAATATCTACGGGATGTACTGACCCAGCTCCCAGAAGACCACAATGATGCCCTCAGTCAAACCAGAGGCCCCTCAATATCGGATGTCAAAAAGCTGACCGATCGAAGGAAACGATATGCATACCTGCTTCTCTCTCGCCACCGCTTGACTCAGCTTCTGGCCGAATGTCCGGGTCCCTGTCCGGACCTCATTCTCCGACGTGCTGAAGTCTACGAGGCCCTGGGATACAGCGAATTGGCGCTGGCAGATGCCTATGTCTCATACACCCTTTGTCTCGTGGCTTTGGATGGCCCTGACGTCTCAGATCTTGAACCTGTCGATTCTGACGGAGATCCCTGGCCGGCTTCCGACAGTGACCATGGCGAGATGGAGTTGAACCCTGTAGCCTTGGAGCACAAGTACCGCTCGCTTGTCCTGATGTGTCGCTCTGCCATCATCCTGGGTGTTCAAAACCAAGCGAAACTGTGGATTGATGAGGTCTTGGCGGTGAAGAGAGTCATACGGCGCTTGAACGGGGAGGAGCCCCGAGAGCCGGTCAGGGACATTGAAGAGGTAGTGGGAGACTTTTCCAAGTACTCCACAGTCTACGAGGACGAGTCCAAGTTCCACAAGTGTGTGAAGATCCTCCGGCGCGATGCCAAGCCCACCCTGTTCGGCTGGTGTCAGCGTCAAGTATACCCATGGAATGAGCACGAGCCCGACAGAATGTCCAGAGAAGCATTAATCGAGATCAATGACAAGCTCCATGTGGCTGCCCCGGATCTGGAAGTGGAAATCGCCACACTCCCGCTTCTTACTCCATCCCTGGATGGGGGTATGGAAAGGGTCTCTGTCGGTGAGGTGAAAACCGGTCCGTTTACCACAGCCCGTTTCTCCTCCCAATTGGGTTTATTTGCTAAAAGGGAACTTGCACCCGGGGCGACCATCTTGAGGGAGAGATCGGCCTTGACAGCCATACGACCACATGGCGAGGCCCTCTGCGATGCCTGTGCGGCTGACATGGAAGGTATCGACCGGGAGCATCGAAGGTATTGTGCAGGGTGTAACATCCCTTTTTGCTCGGATGAATGTCAGACAGCTGCAGCAGAACGCTACCACCAGCCGAACGAGGAAGACTATCAGACCGATGAGGGTTATCCGCCTGCCGAGGCGCCCTTTTGTCCTGGAACCAGTGGCAATGACGACCTTCACACGCTCGGACGGGCTGAAAGCTCGACAACCCCCGAATGGGATTTGTACTTTTTGCTCCTCTCTCGAACCATGCAGCTGGCCGAGACCCAGAAAATGCATCCTCTGGATCTCTTCGAGACGAAATATTTGTGGGGAGACTTCTCTCCAACACCAGAAGTCATGGATCTCCCGATCAAAAGCGGTCCCAAATCACTGCCATACAGCGTGCGCCACCATGTCGAGTTGCCTCTCCAATGGTTTGAGATTCTTATGCACTCCCGAGAGAGGTGCAGACCCTATAGTGCCACTTGGCTGAAGAAATACGACTGGTGGATCATTCAGACACTCTTTGCCAAGTTTCGAGGAGTGGCCGACGCCCAACAATCAACCTGGACGGGCAAGCCTGAGGTCGCCGCCGTCCATCCTCTCTGGTGTTTGGCAAATCATAGCTGCAATCCAAACGTGACTTGGAAACCTTCGGGCGTGAGAAATCTGACCGTCGTCAAGGAAAAAGTGTGGGAGCGTACTCCTTCATCGACCATTTGGGGAGGTATCCAGGCCGGCGAAGAGATTCAGAACCACTACACCGATGTGCAGGAACAGGACTACCGAGAGCGCCGAGCCCGTTTGCAGGCGGTCCTTGGTGGAGATTGCCGGTGCGAGAGGTGCATCTATGAATCGAACCTGGCTCCAAGCCAACATTGAGCGCCGGCATGAGTGCTCGACAAGGGTGAGATTGAATTCAGTAGTCCGCAAGACCAAGGGCCAACGACGGGCAGCTTGGCAGCACTGGGAACTTCAACACTCCCGAGACATCTGGTGCGTCTTGCGACACCACCGAGATGTTTTCACTGTGTTCTCATCGACATCGTTGGACCGAAGGTGTTATCGGATTTGATATGCTCCGGAGACCGCTTTCCCTAGGTAGGTACAACCGTTTTTGAGCAGCTACCTGTGGCAGGTGGCCTCCAACCTCACTGGCGCTCACCACGACATGGCACGCCGTGAATCCGGAGCGTCTACACGTATACATTTCTTCTCATCGGGATATTGTTGCTGCTGTCATTGCGTTTTTCGTATTTCAGTCTGAACAGTCACATGTCGGCAAATATATATGTCCTTCGGCGGCATTAGATCGACATGGATCAGAATTACGATAATCCTCCGTCACAGAAGTCTCATTCGCGACCACGCATGCCGCTTTCGTCGCGCATCAAGTCTTCTGCAGCCGTTCTGAGGCCAGACAAGAGCACGTTTCCACGACTCGGGCAGTATCTAAAAGCTTTCTTCCTGGACCACTGGCTCGACCTCGTTTGTATCCTGGCCATCGCCGGCATAACGGGTGTGGTAAGTATGCATCAGATATCTCCCCCCCGAGCTTGATGTTCGGTGCTTAACCAAATATCACCAGATTTGGATCATTCCTGCCCGTCCGCCTCTACTCTTCCCGCTCCTCACGCCCGACGGTACCACCTACAATCCTTCCATCGGCTATCCTTATGTCACGCCCATACTCTCCTCCCTCATCACGGGCATTCTCTGCGGCTGCATACCCCTCGCCGTGATTCTGCTCTCCCAAATCTTCGTTCGATCCTTCGCTGACTTCTCCTCGGCGACTCTGGGCCTCCTGTACTCGCTGGTCACGGGCACGTGTTTTCAAGTCGTTCTGAAGAAATCCATCGGTGGACTCCGTCCGCATTTTTTGAGTGTCTGCAATCCGGTCGTTCCAGCCGGACATGTCGGCGTTGGATATAACGGGATGATGTACCGCGTCGGAGATGTCTGCACCGGCAACCCAAGAGACATTAACAATGCGCTACAATCGTTTCCGTCCGGACACAGTGAGATCGCTTTTGCCGGGCTGGGTTACCTCTCGATATATCTCTGCACCCACCTCCGCATTGGTGATGTCTCCACGGCCCGAAAACGGGGATTCTGGCGTATGATTTTGGTGCTCATACCGATCGTTTTTGCGACTTACATCTCGAGCACGCTCGTCTTGGGATACCACCACTTCGCACATGATTGTTTGTTTGGGGCGGCAATTGGCTGTTTGACCGCGATGCTGGGCTACAGGATTGTTTTTCGAAGTTTGCTCGATGCAAGGATGAACTGGAGGCCGAGAGTAGGGAGGAGGTTGAAGAGGGCTATCGACGTGGAGATGGAGAAGAGAAGTGAAGGGCAAGCGGGAAGGGAGGTCGATGCTGATGAAACAGGGCTCGGCAGCGCAACGAGGCGGTCAGGTCCTGGTGTGAGAGACGAGAGCAATACAGGGGATGAGCTCGAGATGGATACTCGCGTTTGACAAACGGTCTGCACTCTGGTTTCATTTTGCATTGAGGGTTGGATATGGTGGCGATAGAGCCGCTCGCCTTCTTGGATCGCAACCAACATCACATATCATACTTGGACTAGGAATCGTGGCGTTCAAAGGGGTCGGCATCGATTAGCCGGCATACCAATAGAAGACTTACTTCATCAGTCCTCATCTGAAGGTGATCTATCTGTCGAGGCGTACGACAAGTTGAGATCCCCAATTCTATACAACACCGGGCTTGAGCATCACGACACGTCTGGCCCAGCCTTGGTCGTCGTCTTGGTATCTCCTCCCTCGGTGTTGAGAGAAAACCCCTGATCGATCTTCGGGGTGGTGGGCACGCTGCTGCCTTCGCCTGCCTCGTTGGCGTTGGCGTTCTCGGCCTTGTTGACCTCCTGCTTGATTCTGCTCTTCCGCTTAAGGGCGTCCTCCTCCTTGATGTGTTGTTCTTTCTCTTCTTTCTGTTTACGAGCGGCCTCCCTCTCCTTCCTGCGCCGCCGTCGCTCTTCCTTGTCATCTTCGCCGCTGGCGCTGGTCAGCGGGCTCAAGAGCGGCGTCCCCAGCGGCGTGCCGTCGCTTCCGCGTTCTCGATTCCCGTCCTTGTCTCGGCGGCCGTCTTTGGCCGGTTTCCTCCTGACGCTAGCGGTGCTACTAACAGAGCTGCCTCTCCTCATCCTTTCGGAGAGAGGTCGTTCAGTGGCCACGTCGAACTCGAGATGTGGCGTGGAAGAGCGCGACGACTGTCGGCTTCGGCTGTGGGTCGAGTCTGAGTCGAGGTTGACGCTCCTTCTCTTGCTGACTGTCCCACTCAGGGCTCGAGCATGCGCATGCGCATTTCCGTCCCTTTCTGATAGACTTGCGCGATGTGAGCCGGGCCCGTGTAGCATGTGAGGATGCTTCTCCAGGTCATGATGCCGTCGCTGGCCATGATGTCTGGACGATTGGAGCCGCCACGCCCCCGTCCACCATTTCCAACCTCCCGCCTCCTTCGCCTTGGTTCTCCTGAGAGTGTTTAGTTTCCTCCTCAATCCTGCCCGCCGCTCGTTCTCCTTCTCCCAGTACTCGGTGCGGTATTCTTCCCAGTTCTCCCGAAATTCGGGGGAGAAGGACTTGGGGAGCAAGAGAAGCATGATGGCGTCCCCTCCCTTGGCGAGATCTTCTTCGATCACGAGCCCGTTTTCGTGCTCGACGAGGTGCCAATCCGAGCCGCCGGCTTCACGCCACAGACCAAAGGGCAGTAAGAACGAGAGGTGGCCGAGCATCTCCCGCCAAAACTTGCCCCTGATCCTCACCACGCGCAGGTTGAAACCCCTCAAGCCCCTGTTTGTGGTCCCCAGCCATTTCCGTGGCCAGCGAATACCTCTTTCCCATTGTCCCGTGCCCCAAACGAGAAGAACCGTGACCACGCCACCCATCAAGGCCAGTTTCTCCGACGTTTCCACGACCCAGTACACGGACCCGCCCAGCCCGGTGCCATCTTCGCGAGGACGTAGGAAGAGCGCGTAGAAGAACAGGCAGTTCCAGGCGGCCAGCAACAGCAGGAAGAATGTGTTCAGCCGGCGGCGGGAGACGAGGTGCAGGTACTGTGCGCGCAGGGACGATTCCAGAATCAGGAGGTTCAAGTAGATCTGAGGAGGGGAGGAAGGTAAGGTCGCCAGGAGAGGATCGAGGGAGGATTGCTGCTCGGAGGATTGTTTTCCGAGAGAATGGAGGGGCGCAGCGGGCAGTGGCTGGATATTCGTCGTAGGTGCGCCTTTGACGATTTGGTTGAGGCGAGATTCGGGGGCGGCCATCTTCGAGGAAGAGGTTTTCTTTGTGGTATGGACTAATGCAGTGCCATCAAGGAGTGGTATGTGAGGAACTGTTTGAGCTGTTCTTCCCTCCACATTCTACGCCATTGATCTTGGGCACTGGTGGGGTCAAGACCGTGTCGAGTCAGGAGGCGGGCATGATTGTTCCTGCAGGAAATGACGAGTGCCAGGCACCGAAATGAACGGTCGAGGGAGTTGTAAACAGTCACAGCAGTGGTTTCACACCCGGCCGAAGCGACTCAGCGCAGATGGCGGGAGACATTCGTTAACTCCGGCATATGCATGGCAAGGGGCGTCAACGGAGCGTCAACCGGCTGAATCGACATCCGAGTGGCTGATCATCTGGGGCTGCGACTTCATCCGTCGTCGAGAGACCGACTATTATGACGACGGCGTAGAGAATTCTGCCATTCTGTATCTCGGTTCTAAGGCTGCCTCTGGGGGGAAGGAGGTCTCATCTCGCTCATTTCGCTCATTATCATCATTATTACTTCTGCCTAATCTGCACGATCCCAGTTGGGGTGTCCCCTGGGTGTCCGTCACCTTGAAAATAGATTACTTTTTTGTCCCCTTCACTCCATTGACTGACTGACTGACTTGTCGTGGCGAATGTCTCGTATATGAGACGCACTCTGCCCTCAGCAGCACTTCCACTCCTCGAGGCGGCCCCCAGATCTCCGATCATTCACCCTCGTCGATTCCAGTCCTCTACAACGGTCCCAGACGAGCTCAACCTGCCCCCCACCTCCCACCATCCGCCCGTCATGTCCACCTCTGCTTCGGCGACGGCCGACTCAGACAGCGAGGTGCAATCGCGCACCCAGCAGAGTCCCATGGCCTCCCAACGCGCCAACGCGGAGAACCCACGGCGATCGCGCCTCGAGGGCCTTTTCCCTCTATCCTACAAGCAGGGCTTCTCACAATGGTGGACTGCTCTGCCCGCCGCTCAAGCAGAACACCGTGTGCTCTCGTTCGTTCCCCATTTACAGCAACCTCCCACGCACACAAAGACCGGCTCTGCGCCACCCTCGCAGACCAACTCCACCATCACCATAGACAAGACCGCCTCCCCCGATGCCGTCACCTCCACGAACTCCATCACAGATCCCTACGGCCCTCGAACATGGCACTCGCGCCTCGTCCCCCTCTCCGGGAAAAACCGCGCATTGAACGAGTTCTCCGTCGTGCGCAACGTGCCCGAGGAGGGCGATCCGGAGCACAACCTGGTCATTCTGCACGGCTACGGAGCCGGTCTGGGCTTCTTCTACAAGAACTTTGAGCCCCTCTCGCGCGCACCGGGGTGGCAGCTCTACGCTCTGGATATGCTCGGCATGGGCCGCAGCTCGAGACCGCCGTTCCGCTTAAAGTCCAAGACGAGGGAGGCACAGATCACCGAGGCGGAGGATTGGTTCATTGACTCGCTGGAGGAGTGGCGGGTGAAGAAGAAGATTGATAAGATGACGCTCATGGGGCACAGCATGGGCGGATACATGGCCGTGTGTTACGCGTTGAAATACCCGGGCAGACTGAACAAGTTGATTCTGGCCAGTCCGGTGGGTATACCAGAGGACCCCTACGCAACGCACGCCGCGATGCCTCCTCCACCAGACTCGACGGCGCAAAACGAAGTCACCACCCCAGACCAGGCACAGTTGAAGCAAAAGCCCAACCCCAACCGTCTGCCGGTCAAAGATATCTCGTCCGCAGACACCTCGTCTTCGGAAGAGACCCCGACTCCGCCCCCACGTCGGCCTCTGCCGAAGTGGCTCACCTACCTCTGGGACGCCAACATCTCTCCGTTCAGCTTTGTTCGGTGGTCCGGTCCTTTGGGCCCTCGCCTCGTCTCCGGGTGGACGTCTCGGCGCTTCTCCCATCTCCCTTCCGAGGAAGCCCTGGCATTGCATGACTATAGTTACTCCCTCTTCCGGTTGAGGGGCAGTGGGGAGTATGCGCTCGCCTATATCTTGGCCCCGGGCGCCTTTGCGAGGAGTCCGCTGATCAGACGCATCGGAAGTGTGGGGAGACAGCCTCTCACGGCATCTACGCACGAGGTCAACGAACAGGGCCAGCTGAAGCAGTTCCCCGGATCATCTTCAACTGCGCCAAACAACACTAGCTCGCCAGATGTTGAGAGAGAACGAGGGATTCCGGTCGTGTTGATGTACGGCGAGAACGACTGGATGGACGTCTCCGGGGGGTATGCGGCCAAGAAGAAGATCGACGCCGAGACAGCCCGTGCTCTGGCGACCGCTTCGCCTGAAGAGAGAGCGCGGGACCACGGGTCGGCGAAAGTCGTCATCATCAGTAACGCGGGACATCATTTGTATCTCGATAATGCAGACGAATTCAACGAGGTCATACTCGCCGAGATGGAAGATGTGCGGAGACGGACTCTGAAGGAGAAAGAGAGGATGCGGTAGACTAGTTGTCATGGAATGGTTTTGAGGGGCATGGCAGCGTTTGGTGGTCAACGGTGGCTTTTGGGCATCATCGTTCATGATATTACGGAGATATAGAGGGTTCATGACCCATTGCCAGCAGTGAGCGTGGATCGGGGCCATGGAGAACCATAGAAAGGCAAAGGGTGGTCGGCGTGGTCGTGTTCTGTTTGGGCTATTAGAGAGACAACAGGGGGTAAGAAGACTCTGTGGTTGTCATTTCCACGGACATGGACATGCACTACTCACCGCATGGTTGGTGGTGACTGAGATGCTTGGATATTCTCCTCCCGGGCCCCCTTTGATGGGTGGTGTATTATATATACCATGCCAGTTGCGAGAGGGGAGAGAGACAGAGTCAAAGCAGAGCAGAGCAGAGCAAAGCAAAACAAAGCAAAGCCCCTTCAGTGGGATGATGCGATGCTTCCCACCGACAGCACGTGTTGGTAAGTTGAAAGCGTGGATCAACGAGGCTTTTTTGTCTGTAAACCATCTATCTACCGATATCTTACTTTGCTTCTCGATGTCTTTTTGGAAGGGAGCATAACAGAGAGAGAGAGAGAATGAATGAGACTAAGAGAGGCCTTTCCTTTCTCCTTCTTCTTCTTCTTCTTCTTCTTCCTCTTCTCATTCCACTCTCCCTCCCCTTTTTTGTCAGCCTCCTTATCTACGGCGTCTCGTCGACCAAATACACCAACTTCTCCCCGCTGACCTTCCCATTCTTCATGTCCTGCAGCCCCTCCAACACGCCCTCCAGCCCGCGCGGGCCCACGCGCTCCTTGTGCGGCCGCAGCTTGCCTTCGGCCAGCAGGGTCTCGACCATGGCGACGAATTTCTTGGTGTACTCAAAGTCCTCGGCAACGGCGGGGATCTTGTTGGACCCGAACTCGAACGCCTCGCCGAAGATGGTGTACATCAGCGTGCTGACGCTGTGGACGTCCGCCCGCGGCGACGTCACGGGGAGGATGGAGCCGTACGTGGCGCCCTTGGACCCGTCGCTGGTCAGCGCGTCGGCGCAGAATTGCGCGCTGGACGCCTCGCTGATCGTGTCCCACGCCAGCTTGAGCTGGTTGCCCGTCAGGTCGCGGATCTGCGCCGCCGCCGTGCTGTCGTTGTAGTCGAACGCGTGGCTCGCGCCCAGCGACTTGACGTACTCGAAGTTGCGGGGCGAGCACGTCGTGATCACCGTGTAGCCAGATCTATTCGTCCGGAGTGACGGAGTCAGTTATGTATGTATGTATGCATATAGAAAGGGGCCTCTCTCAACGGAGTATATACATATTTATTTATGGTGATCAAGAGGGGGGGAACTCACAATTTCGCAAACTGGATGCCCAGCGCGCCGGTGGCGCTACTGCCCCCGTAGATGAGGATGTACTCCTGGTGGGAGATGGGGTTGGTGGGCCACGGGATCTTGAGGGCCTTCTGGTACAGGCCTTGCATGACGGTTGTGACGCCCAGGAGCAGGGTGGCCGCGGGCGCAAAGTCCAGCGACGCCGGGATCTTGAGCTGCACGTCGCCCTTGGCCACGACGTACTCGGCGAAGGCGCCATCCTCGGGCTGCACGGCGTTGCCCCCGTGCGCGACGCCGGCGATGCGGTCGCCCTTCTGGAACGCCTTGGTCACCGCCGGCCCGACCGCCTCGACCACCCCGGCAAAGTCGCAGCCGACCAGGCACCCGTCCGTTGCCAGACCGAACGTGAAGTGCTTCCAGTCCGTCGGGTTGAGCGCCACGGCCACCGTCTTGACCAGGATGTAGTCGTCGCGCAGCGTGGGTTTGGGCCGGTCCCGGTCGACGTACGCTCCTTTGCCTTTGACGACGACGGCCTTCATCTTGGAACGAGCTTGTCTTCCTGCGGCTTGTTGCACGTTGGTCGCTCGATGGATAGATGGAGTTTGATGGAGATGGTGACTATTGCTCCTGTCAGAGGTTTTTCGTGGGGTGATCGGTCGAGGAGAATAAAAACAGACTCACAAGAACGAATCTACGGTTGCTAGTACTGTACCGAGTATCTCGAAAGTATATAAAGGTTCAGCGAACATATAACAATATTAATAATAATGTCAAGGAATGAGCAAGGATGACGTTCTCATGATATCATTAATCCTCCCTCTCCTATATGTCTATGGAGATAGAATACAAGTCGCACTGACTCGGCATATGTTCGCATGAACCAGACAGAAGATTCCTCCGTTCCCCCATTAATGTCAATTGCCTAGGCTCTTTGATAAGCAGAACTGTTTATGGTCACAACGGCGGTTAGAAACGGGGAATGAGCCCGTGGAAAGATACCGAAACGCAGCTCTTTGTGTCTTAAGCCTCGGCCAATCGTCCCTCTTCTCCCCCCCCAAAAACGGGGGCCGAATCCGCTGTGGCATGTGCAGCTGGATAGGGATATCGGGCCTCAATCCACATGCCGTTCCTGGACGGCTTCATTTGTCATTCATTCGTACATCAGTAGCTCGTGTCAGGTAATAGGACATTGTCAGCGTTGGCGACCGGTTGGGGCATGCAGTTCTCGACGCCCTGTCAGTCTTCCCATCTCCGACCGGTCTGTCTCATGGTATACGAGACTGCGGACTGTCAGTGTCGGAGCTGTCCTGCTGGCTCCGTGTCTCAGGTGGCCGACGACCATACGCGCAACAACCAGTCGCGAAAGCTCTCCGGTTGCACCGCCACCAGCTGGTTGAGATTGGTGTTGACGAAGTCGTAGCGACCTTCGGCAGTGGTGATCAAGTGATGCACGCGAGTCTCTCGTGCGTGGTCTCCGACGGCTCGGGCGTAGGTCAATGCATCTTGCAACGAACTCCTCGTATGGCCCGAGACCTCAAACGGCCGGCCTGCACATGGTCAGTTTGAGGCAGCGGCTTTTCCAGTGCTGGAAGCGTACCTTGGATCTCCTCGGCAATGGCAACGACATCTCGTACACTCAGTCGCTCACCGCGCAGGCGGAACTCTCTGGGCCACGAAGCCAAGTCCAAGGCGGCGACCACAAACCGGGCAACATCAGCAGCCGACGTCATGCAGATTGTTGCCGGCTGTCCGGCGCTGTTGAGGTAGGGGACCTGTGCCCGTCTTCGGCGAAAGTCCATCAGATAGTCCCCTTCCTGGCCGATGTTACTTCGCAGCCCGATTTGTGAGGCCGCCATCCCCCCAGGGGCGAATCTCTCGTAGAGGACGCCGCACGTAAAGACGGTGAAGCGCATGCCGGAAGGTTCATGCTGGTGGAGCCGAAGAATGGCGGCACGGCGCCCGTTGTCGAGTAGATCATTCTGGGGGCGCAGAGAGGGGGGTCCACCAAACTCGGAGGGCACAAAGCGACGTACATGGGCTGCGGCCGCCGCGTCAATCAGCGCCAGTTGGGCATTGCCACTGACGGTCGAGATGACCGTGTCGACCCCAGCTAGTTTGAACTTGAGGTCGGTAGGGTTGGAGTAGTCGACCTGGTCAGTCACGGCGTCAGTAAATGTGAGTTCCCTCCCCGGATCGATCTCCTCCACCCACGACGTGGTACGTGATGAAAGACGAGCTGACCAACTTACCTGAAGTACTTGCCAACCTCTTGCCGTCAGACCGGGACTAGGCTTCGTTGGTCAGCCACACCATCAACATCTCGGACACACGCTCACATACATACCCTTCGAGATAGAATGATAAACTGATGGGAGGTCTGCGCCGCGATGCTGTGGGCAATGTACTGCGCCAACCCGTTGGTGCCGACCACGGCGACTTTGATCATGGCTGCGGCGGTGTGTCCGGGAGAATGTTGTCGTTGCTGTTGTTGTCTGGGATCAAACATTGGGTCATATATCTGCCAGAGACCGGCATCGTGGCAAGGTCGCTATCCTGCAGGCCGTGAGTCAAATCAATCCCAGCGATATCAAGAGATTGTGCATTTATGCAAGGGCAATGTAATGCCGTGGAGTGACGCCTGAGCTGCCTAGTTACCTGTGTATCTGCCAGTGGATGACGGGTGAATATAAGTCGATCTCTCAGCCAGGATTAAGGCCCAGGTGGTGGGCCCAGAGAATGGGAATAGACCACCAATGGGGCCTAGATCCGGGGGTATGGCACCAGGACGCTACACAAGGCAGACCAGGGACAGAAGTTCTCGATCACTCCCTGCCAATGATAAGCGGCCGCCCTGGGAGTCATGCTAGGCAGAGGGAGCAGGCATCGAAGGGAAGTCTGCGAAGGATGAGTCGTTCCGGCAGTCACGCGCGAAGTGGATGTTCTCCAGCGACCGTTAGTCATGTCCCTGGGTGGAGGGAAAACAAACCCGCGATCCACGGTGTAGCGCAAGTTCAAACAGGCAGGGAAACAGCATCCACCCGGGGACGGTTGAGGAAGAAGGTCGATAAGAAGCACAGAATTGTCGCATCTTTTGCCAGGAGCAACGCCACGATTGGTCGAAGGGATTTCTCTCAAGCCGAGGTTTGATGCTTCCGCACCACTGCTTCGCGACGCATCTCTGTCCTTGGATCGAGGTTTAAAATGTACAAAGTGGTTGGTGCAACAATGGTAGAGGCTAGTGGTATTCTGGACCCAAGCCCAGACGAGGCTTGTCAGCCCTATCAGGCCCACCGTGGGAATGACCCTGGCCCTCTTCAGCCGTATGGTCATTCTGACTTGCTGACTCGTAATCTTTAGTTGAGTGGATGGAAACAAGGTGGAATTTGCTGCCTGTTGCGACCTCCTCCTCCCTCATACCACTTGGAGGGAGCGCCAACGAGTTTGCGTTTAGTTTGGACTGGGGCCTCGAAATAACGTGCGAATCTCGGGATCGGTACGACTTGCCTTGAGATCATGTAGGCGAAGCTCGAACGGGACGGTAAGTCGTCATCGTCCATGACCGCTTTGCGGAGCTGCCGAGATCAACGTCACAATCGCCAACAGAGGGTATAGTCCTTGTGAAACGACTGGTAATTTGGCTTCAGACGAGCCTGAACAACCTTCCGGTCGTTGCGCACGCTGGGTGGCACTCGGTGTAAAGGAATGTTTCGAGGCCGACATTTTAGAGAGGAATCGAGCTCGACCTCGGCTCGGTCACGTTATCTCGCGTTCTTGTCGCGATAGGGCTGATTGACGGGAGCACACCACCCCGGGGGGAAGTCTGAGGTAACGAATTGGTAATCCCTCGAGCAACACCACACACGGGGCCAGTTCCTGTTCCTTGGGGGGCGGGCTGGCAAAACCGACAAAGTTTTGGAAGTTTTGAATTGCGAACTCCATGGGAAGGATGGGCAGGAATGGTAGGAAGGGGCGAGAATTGGCGTGAAGCTGTTAATTCTCTTCGCAGGGGGTGAGGGCGCGGGCGACGTGCGAATCCCATCCATGCCCGAGATAACACAAGACAATCTCACATTGGCGACGTTGAGCTCTGTCGCGAGTGAAGGAGAGGAAGCAGGTTCGAGAGAAATTGATGGTGGATGGTCGAGGCGGTGATTGATTGATTGATTGATGGCTGATGGCGATGGCTAGTGACTGCGGTGCCAGTGGGTCGAAGTTGATCTCATTCTCTTGGCAAGCCGTGACGCGCCTCAGACCCGCGCCGCAAATACACCACCACTTTACCACCACTTTACCACTGTACACCTCGTTCTGCTGTGTCGCGAACTCTGCCTGTCTACCTGTCTACTGCCTACTGCTGTACAGCTGCCGACCATGGGCCAGGATGCACTCGACATGCCCCAATCAGTGCCTCAACACGCTCCCCATGGCACTTCCTCAGAGACACCTCTGGCGGTCAAGGCAAAGAGAAGACGCACCAGGTCGGTTACCCTGAATCACGCTCTCTGCCCAACCACGGCTTCTGACCCAGCTGCAGCCCTCAGGATTGTGCCATCCTCGAAGCTGCATACCACAAAAACTCCAAACCAGACAAGGCCGAAAGAGCCCTGATCGTCAGTCGGGTGGCCCTTGGAGAGAAAGAAGTTCAGGTACAACCAACCACCTTCTGCTGCCACCGTGAAGTGAACTGACCCCTTCCTTCCATAGATCTGGTTTCAGAACCGTCGCCAGAATGACCGTCGCCGGTCTAAACCACTGCAGCCGCATGAGCTCGTAGCCCATCTCCGCAACAGTAATGTCAGCCCTGTCCCTCCTCAGATCAGCTCATCCCCCGTCTCCGACGATCTGTCTGCCTCTTTGTCTCGTCCCAACTCGTCTCTGGCGCCGATCGAGCCCCCCAACCGACCGATCTCGAGAGGCTCGAGCATCCATGATCTTCTCAACCCCACCCCGTCAGACGACGACGCCAGCATCAAGCCCAGCTCACAGGACACGATGGGAGGGAGTACACCGCCATCCAGCTTCGAGAAGGATGCGTTGACCACCGGGACGCCGCCTGCAGACGTGACGCAGGAGAAAGTGGCCGAGAATTGTGACAGACAGTCGGACGTTGGCAGTGAGCAAGGCAGCGCGAGAAAGAGAGATCACGATGAGATGACTGGTGCAAACCCGTCTTGCCCTCGTGTGGAGGGCCAGGGTAAGATGGGGGAGAGCACCATGTCCAAAGGCCCTCTGATGAGGGCATCGAGTTTTGTACGGCTCTCAATGACGGTGGACGGCGCTGTCAAGATTCGAACGAACAATGAGCCCACACCATCGCCCGAAAAGCCTCGCGCTCCCACTCCCACCACACGTCACAGGCAAAGAGAGTCATTGGCCCGCAGCAAGAGTGCGATGAGTGAGGTGGAGATTTTCCGTGACAGCGTCCAAGGAGCGCCCAAGAGCATGGGGGTTGGGTTCGGTCGATCCCGTGACGCCAGGACTTGGGAGTTTTATTGCGACAGCAAGACGAAGGATGCGCTTTCGACCCAAGCTGAAGCGGAAAGTGCAGGATCGGCGGTCAGCGCCATCAACCTCATCCGATCGAACGGTTTCAAGCCACGTCTGCAGGCTCTCAGCCCGTCGTTGTCCAAGACCAATGCCCGCCGCGCGACGGGGAAGGAAGGCCGGCCCAAGCTCTCGCGTGCCAAATCCTCCTTGGGACGTTTACAAGGTCTGAATTCGTCGGTTGATTCGTCGAATGACAAATCGAAACCTCTGCACGGCCACGGCCACGTCAGGTCACCATCTGGAGACTCAGACAAGGAGAACTGGGCGCCCGGAACCAGAATGTCGGAGCATCCCTTGCGTAGAACCCAGCCCAGCACCAGTACCCGGCCGGTCCTGCAGGAAAATGAGCAGATGACGTTCCCGGATGTCAGTTCTTCCCGCAAGCGTGCTGAAGAAGGAGCTGGTAGTCGACCTTCCCCAACGAAAGTGACGGCCAAAGGGGAAGAACTCGACTGCGTGCAGGGGTTGCTGTCACTCAGTCAGGGAGCTTGGTCTCGATAGAGATCGCATCTTGAATTACCTTGGGAGGATATTTGTTTGATTAGGGGGGCCATAATCCGGGACGGTGCATAGGTTGGAATGTTGTGTGTTTTGCATTTATCTGCATGACTGTTCGCAGCCAGTCCGGTGTGAAGATGGAAAAGGGATCATCGACCAATGTATCATGATGGACCATGATGGATGGACGGCTATTGGAAAATCAATTGCAAGAAGAGATCATGTTGATTAATCGTCTGCTTACTTCTCTTTTTCTCTCTCTCTGTTTTTACTTGTACTAATTTGGTTTCGTCTCTGTCGGCAACTGGCGACTGGCGACTATTACATACTAAAAAGAAACCCACGTGGGCGGCGACCTCAAGAGAAATCAGACGGTCGCCATCCATCCATATCTAATATCACCACCACCAACTATGTAATCTACACTTAGCATCGAGTGATATTAGCCTTGGAAGATAATAATATTATTGATACCACTGTCGACATTTCTCTAACCCCCTCCCTTTCTCTTCTCCGGGACCGCCCTCCAGCCTAGAGCTACCCTTTGTTAATGAATTATCATTACCTGCTCAAGTGTACTATTACTGCTACTCCTGTGTGACGCCGTTGCCCCTCCAACTTCACATCATTCGCCCACTTGACCCCCCCCCTTCTCTTATCGTTCGTTGCACGCATCATCCGCTTCGCCCCCTCCCCGTTTGGATTGTATGTCTCGAATCTCTCGAGACCTTGCTAACAGTGCGCACAATGGCCATGCAACTGGTCCCATGCCTTCTTCTTCCTCCACCACCACCTCCACCATGCAAGCCCTCCGAAACGCCAGCACCCGCTCATCACCGCGCAAGATCCCCCACGTGGCGGTCGTCGGCGCCGGCATCGCGGGCTTGCGATGCTCGGACGTCCTCGCCCGCAGCGGCGTCAAGGTGACGCTGTTCGAAGCCCGCGATCGCATCGGCGGCCGCGTCCACCAACGCCACGTGGGCGGCCACCTCGTCGACATGGGGCCCAACTGGATCCACGGCACCGAGGGGAATCCCATCATGCATCTCGCCGAGCGGACGGGCACCGCGATCCTCGAGCCCGACGACGGCCAGGCCCTGTTCGACAGCGACGGGATCCGGCGCCCCGACGCCGAGGCCGTCGCGCTGTCCACCAAGATGTGGGACATGGTCGTCGACGCCTTCAAGTACTCGGACGAGCATACCGCCGACATCGACCCCTCTGTCAGTCTCTTCGAGTACTTCCAATCCCAGCTCGACCGAGAGACGGAGCTCACGCCCCGGCAGCGCGACGACCTGCTCCACGAGGCGCAGATGTGGGGTCCCTTTGTGGGCGACGCAGTTGAGAAGCAGAGTCTCAAGTTCTTCTTCTTGGAGGAGTGCATCGAGGGCGAAAACGTCTTCGTCGCCGGCACGTACCGGGACATCCTGAAGGAGATCGGCCGCTCCGCGACGGAGGCGGGCACAGTCGACCTGAAGCTCGAAACGGAGGTGGTCCATGTCGAGACGAGAGCCGGCGACGATGATGGCGGTGACGTCGCCATCACGACCGCGTCCGGCGACCGGTCGATCTTTGACGAGGTGGTCATCACATGCCCGCTGGGCTGGCTCAAACGGAACCACACACAGGCCTTCACACCGGCCCTGCCGTCGCGACTCGCCTCGGCCATCTCCAGCATCAACTACGGCCGCCTCGAGAAGCTCTACGTGACGTTTCCGTCTGCCTTCTGGCTGTCCACCGCCGACGACGCCGCGACGGGGCCGCAACCCGACCTGTCCAGCTACCCGGTGCACACCCACTTCCACGACCCGGCCTACGTGCCTCACGCGCGCGACGAGGCGTGGAACCAATCCATCGTGTCGCTCGCCCACCTGCCGCCGCCCTGCGCCCACCCGACGCTGCTGTTCTACATCTACGGGCCGTGCGGCACCCACCTGGTCGACGCGGTCAAGGAGCTCGCGCCGCACTCGCCCGCGTACGACGCCACGCTCGACCGCTTCGCCGCGGCATTCTACTCGCGCCTGCCGCACTACGACCCGCGCGACCCGGCCTGCGTGCCCCGGGCGTTCCTCATGACAACGTGGCAGGCCGACCCCTTCGCGGGCCACGGCTCCTACTGCAACTTCCAGGTCGGGCTCGAGCGGGGCGACGAGGACATCGAGGTCCTGCGCGACGCCGGCGGGCTGGGCACGCAGGGCCTGTGGCTGGCCGGCGAACACACCGCGCCGTTCATCGCCCTGGGAACCACCACGGGCGCGTGGTGGAGTGGTGAGGCCGTGGCGCGACGCATTTGCTCCAAGTGGGCGATCAATGTGCCGGGAGAGGCGGCGGTGAATGGGAGTGCTGAACTTGTACAACAACAGCAGCAGCAGCAAGACCTGCTGGAGAAGGAGACGAAGATGAAGAAGAAGACACTAGACAAGGACAAGCCGGACGCGGCGAACTTGAGCGGGCTGGCGATTTGATTTTCCAATGATATTATCTAATCATCATCTCCTGCCCTTGTTCTTTTTTTTGCACATGCATAATAGCCAATGGTCCATTCCAATTCAAGCTCCAGACTTGTGTGTCTGCGTGTGCATCTGCTTGCAGACCTCGAGTTCAAGTCCACCTGTGACCCAAGATTGTGTCACAGGGCAGGGAGCATCCATCATTGTCGGATCACATCATCTTCTCAAATTGCCTTCTGGAGCTCTATCCACAGAAGCATGGTTGGTTAACTTAGTATATATGCTGCCGAAAGAGAGAAAAAGGACAGAAAAGAAGAAGCACAAGACTCACGTTGGGTTATCACATCCACCTTGTCGTCCTCGGTCATGTCGCTGGGCTGGCCCCTCCACCGCCTCTCCATGGCCCGGTTCAGTCGTTTCTGCAAGTCCCGGTCGCGCTTGTGCCCGTACGCATCCAGCGCTTTGGTGATGTCGATCCGTTCGAGACGCGTGGCGAAGTGCTGGCTGTCCTGGATGCGGGCCAACATGCGCTTCTCGGTCTGGACGAGCTTGCCTTTGCCAGATCGGTTGGTATTATCGTTGGTGCTGTTGTTGTTGTTGTTGTTCTCCCCCTCGACATTCGTGGCCGCTTCCTTCTGGGTGCGCGTCCTGGCACGGTCGCGAGGTTTGGTGGCGCTTTTGGGAGCCTGCTGCAGCAGTAAACGGGCCTTCTTTCTCCTGCCATACCCCTTTGCTCTGGAATAGACGCCAGGGAACTTGCTTGTGATCTCCTCAATCGGTTCCGGTAGAACTGGACTGGAGTCTAGACTGGACACTTGGGCTGGTCGAAGAGCTCCGTCGCCGGTTATGACTTGGTCGTCGTCTTCGGCAATGAGGTGATCAGTAAAGGAAGCCGACAGGGCGCGACGGTGTCGATTCCCGAGATGCCAGAGCTCTGTTGGTTCAGCCTGTGGAATGTGATCATAAAACCAGGTAATCGGCGTTTGGGTTGGTGAGTCCAGCTGTCGAGCGACAGAGGTCTTTTCGCTGTCCCACAGTGGGATTGTGTTGGGCATGTTGGCCGGCAATCGGTTCCAGGCAGGAAAGGCGCGGTTGTGGTTGAACATATGAAACACTGCACTATCTGTTGCTTTTGTGTCAGCATTCCTACCGCATCTAACGAGGAACTGGTACCCTTGATCGCTGCAGAAGCAAGCTCGTGACCGGCAGGGAGACCACCAAGGTTGCCCGGATTCGAAGCAACTTGGATGCTGGTCAGGTTGAGGCCGCGATGGGCGAGTTGTTCTAGAACCATGTGTGGGATGCTCTCTGTCAAGGACTCGAGGACGGCGGGATCATCAACCCGAATACACAGCTCTTGCGTCGCCACCACAGTGACCTTCATCATGCGTTGGTCCGGTAAAGAAGACATGACGGATCTGTGCCATGGAAATGTGAGAGAAACAGTTGAGGATGACGGAGAGTCAAGCAGGGTTGGGGGTTGTTGTAAGACCATTCATGAGCTGTCACCAAACAACAAGTGAAGTGAAGTTGAATTCAGAACGAGGAGGGTCTATACACCGGGGGTATTGAGGACCACAGCGTGTGTGACGGGTTGTCTCGCTGCGTGAGGTGTTTCTCCGTGGCTGTGAGTGACATTGCTCATTGTATGTAGATGGTGCAGGCAGTCACCGCTGAGGACTGTGAAGGGGTCTGCAGAGGCTCTAGCACATGGTAATGGACACCGATGCAGGTTGAACATGGGCCATGATGGTTCAGAATCAGGGAGGCATAGTGTGTTATGGTGGTATAGTAGTATGGTGTTATGGTGTTATGGTGTTATGTAGGTGTGTAGGTACGATACATACTGTATCAGTGAGAATGTAATAGGTAAAGTGTCTCTGTATGTCGTCATTGTCCTGCGCCATGGATCTGGATCTGACGCTCCTTCTGCCACTTCAATATTTATTACTTTTTATTCCTTGCTGACTATTAACTACTTCTTTCCTCTCTTTGCCATAGTACTCCTTGAGAAAAGAACATAACATATCACATCGCGATGGCAGTGCCCTCCGTCCAACTCCAACTCCAACGACAATAACTGCAACAATGTCGGGCCCCAAGCGAAAATCATCCCGTCCCGCTCACCACTCAAACAACTCCGCCACCGCATTCGTCAACCCATGGCCATCCGCTGGGACCCCCAGCTGGGCAGAACTCTTTCAATCATCTTTTCCGCTGGGTTGGTACACCGATGATCTCAGTGGCCACAAGAGAGCTCGCCCACTCAAGGTCGTCACTCCGGACTGGGGCAAGGCGGACCTGGAGAAGAAGAAACTTGACAAGGCCAACAGTGTCATCGGCACATGGTTAGGCCATGCAAGCGCCCTGGTGGAACTGCCGCCTCTCGACAGCTCCGAGAACAAGAGCACATGGCTTCTATTCGACCCCATCTTCTCCATGCGAGCAGGGCCGACCCCCAATAGCGGTGTCACCCGCTTCAACCAAGCTCCTTGTAAGCCCGAGGACCTGCCAGGCTGCGATGCCGTTTTCATTTCCCACAACCATTATGACCATCTGGACGCTGCCTCAATAAGGGCCATCCTCAAGAAATTCCCGCAGGCAAAGTTTTTTGTTGGTCTTGGTATCGGGCAATGGATGTCGTCGATGGGGGTTCGGGATGCACAAATCTGTGAGATGGACTGGTGGCAAAATCGGGAGTATAGTCTGGAAGACTTCGGTGTCCAACCGCGCCCAGCGTCGACCGAGCAAGTCATCTTCAGATTTTCGTGTGTGCCCGCCCAGCATAATTCTGCACGCAGTCTCATCGATCAAGGGCGCACGCTCTGGTGTGGTTGGGTGGTCGAGCGCTTTCTTCGCTCACAAGACGAATCAAGCGAATCTAAAGCCATCAGACGAGGGGTTATCTATCATGCGGGCGATACAGGCTATCGACGGACGTCGAGATCCGAGGTTGTTTGTCCGGTGTTTAAAGAGATTGGGGAGAAATTCGGCCCAGTCGATCTTTCATTCATTCCCATATGGCGCGGTGGCACTCTCGGTTTCTTTTCATACATGGGCCTTCGACTATCTCATCACGACATCCCGGCGGCGCTTCACGCTTCTCCTGCAGATGCTGTTGCGATACATGTCGACGTTCGATCACGGAACAGCATTGGAGTCCACTGGGGCACATTTATCGGTGCCGTCAGCGAGTCTTACGAAGCTATGATTGAGTTCGCCGAAGCATGCGAGAATCGAGCTGTCGAGGGTCTGGACAGCGAAAGCGAGGGGGACAACGGCCGAGCAGGCTTGTTGGACATTGGCGCCAGTCTGGCCACGCGAATTATCTAGCCTGAGGTTTACTGGAGCCCAGGAAACAGCGTCCAACCTGCTGCTATGCTTGGAGAGTGTTTGCAAACTTAAGCGCCCTTGCTGTGAACGGTCGGCCGCTTAGAGTACATATTCTCACCACCCTCCCTGGCACGCACGGTACGAAGGACATTTCGTCCTTCTAGGAACCTTTTTCTTTTCTAGAGTGATGGAGTTGGGGACACAGCAGAAAGTTGTCAAGGGCACGTCCAGAATGAACATATCGAAAAAGCAAAGAAGATTACTTTTGAGTGCGGTCCACTCCCTAACTGCTCAATGTACATAGATACCACGACACCCTGAACAGGGGATATTTGAGCGAGAAACATTCACAGTCCGTGCAGAGGCTTGAGTGACGATCCCGACACCGCAACACGTTCAGGATTCAGGAACTGGTCTCAGCCGTCGGTATGGCAAGGAGCTTCGCCTCTCTTTAATTGGATCAAAGGCTGGCCCTGTCGCCTGCCCTACCTCCTTATACAAACGGATTCTGCTCAAGGTTCTCCTTGCAGCTGGTCTTCCCGTCAATCACCCGGAGCCGCGGGATGCCCGTCGGCGGCCGAGAAGGCGACGTCGGCTCGCCCTGCACCAGCTCCCGCCGACTCGGGCGCCACGTGGCGGCGCGCTGCTTCTCCATGTCCTCGGCGGCGGTGCTCACCATGCCGCTGAAGGGACAGGTCATCTTTTGCTGTTCGTTGGACAGACGCACCTGCTCCATGGTGCGGCCGAGGCTGGTGGTGCTCTTCTCCGACGACGTCGACGACACGGTGGGCGCGATCGAGCTGTCGTCGTTGTCGTGGCCGCCCGCCGCGCCGTTGCCCAAAATCCGCTTCCCGTTGAGGTACCCTTCGGGCTCGCGCGCCTCGGCCTCCATGTCCTCCTCGGCTTCTTCGTCCAGGAATTCACGCCCGTCCTCGACGTGCCACTTCGCCATCAGGTCGTTCTGGATCCAGATCACTTTGCCAATCGCCTTGACGATGGCGATCTTCTGCATGAGTTCCAGCCGCGGGTGCGAGAGTATGGCTTCCGTCATCGAGTCCTGGATATAGCCTAGACACGCGCCGAGAAAGATGTAGTCCACGTGTAGAGGGTTGCGGCGTCCTTTGCCGACGTGCATCAACCTATGCGAGTTACTGTCAGATATGCCCTTCTCCCCGGTGGTGCTTGAGGTAGACGGCCAGGTCGGCTCGCACAAAACGTGCGGCTATGGATACACACTTACCCGACTTTATCCAGATATTGCCAATATTCCATTTTGCTGGGATCGGAATTGAGTTTCGTGAGGTACCACCTCAAAAACATCTTCCGGTGCCGGATCTGGGCGTCGTCTTCCTTGATCCATTTGACCGGGTTTTCTTCGAGTCGGCTGTCTCGCGTACTGAAAACTCGGGCCGTGATATCGTGCTTCAGCAACTTCTTGTACACCATGTTGACGATGGCCGGAATAATGGCTTTGATATATTTCTGTCCCTCAATCAGGGCGACAACATCATCTGGATTGGGCCAGCGGTCAGCAGAGGCGTCCTCTTGAACCTGCTGCTCGGTCGTTCGACGGTCGGACGCGATATAAACCCCTCGGCAAGGGAGGAGAGCGCTCACCTGCTCCGAATTCAAGGAACTGCTGGAGGTACTGGACTCGAACGGGGAGCGACGTGTACAGCTCGCGCCGATCCACATGTTCCATATTCTTCGGAATGTCGCCCATTGTGTGACCGCCCAGGAGGAGAAAAAGGAAACGTCTTAGAAATATGCCGGTAAGGGAGCTTGGTCGCACTCTGCTGATCTGTTGAATCCAAAGTTCTCCTTGACTGAGAGACAGGAAGCCAGATGAAGCACAGCTTCACCTGCGTTCCGCAACGGCGAAGCCATGATTTAAAGCCGACTGAATTGATCGTATGTGCTTTGTCAGAGCAGGAAAGCGCTTCCGAGTCTTCTTCTCACCGAGAACTGCTGGCTACGGCACTTCTCCATAGTCGAGCCCCTAATTGGGACGAGTCGAAGATAATTTTCGATCCGTCCCGCTAAGGAGCAGCCCATCTTGCCATGTACCTAGTTTCCACGTGCGGTGGCGTGACCATCATCCGCCGGGGGGTGGGACCGTCACAGAACCTGTTCTTGTTGTGAATATTGAAACTGGGATAACGCCACTCGCTGATCGACTGAAAGGCGTGATGTATCGAGATTTCCTGTTGGTTTGGGGGCCATCTTGTAGGTAGACCAGGCGGCAGCGTAAGCGAGTCCTTTCTCGCTACAATACTTGAATCCAGTCCGAAAGATGCCCAGTAGAGTTGCCCAACCCTCAATGCACGTATCAGATTCCGCGAAGACCACGTTTTTTGAAGCTGCACAAAATGATGGGCCCAAAAACATCCTTCCTCCGGCATCGTCTATCCGAAGCTAGCGGTCACAGAAGGCGTTGGAGCGAAGCGAGACGGTTTGAGGCCGATGCTTCTGGAACGCCGCGATTACCCTGTCCCCAGGCTGGTCCTCGGTTGGAAATCGTTGAAGATGAAAAAACTTGCTCGCCCTGGTATGGAAATTCGAGGCTTCATCGAGGCTATGGGGACGGAGATTGGGGAGCAGTGCCTTGCTCTCCTGATGCCGTTCTACATACTTGGTAGAGAGAAACGGGTTGAAACCTGAGCCAAGGGTGTGGATACAGGATGGAGCTCAAGCCACGCTCTAGCTACCGCAGTTGGCAGGGATGGACCTGCTCTGTACCGAGTAAACGTACTCGGTCCTTACAATGTAATCGCCTGCGGTTTGACTCGTAGCGACGGGCTTGTTGTGAGATTGCCCCCTTTAACCCACGGCAGCGTCATGCCTCCACCATGCTGGGTTCTAGAATCAGGGATAGAAAAAATTGAGGAACAACCACGTCGGATAACCCCGTGGACGAACAGGGAACCTCTTCAGGCGATTCCCACTGAGGCTCCTCTATGCGGCGTCATTCCAGGTTGCCGGCAGCGAGGCTGCATGGTTAGGCGAGGAAGTTTCGCGTGCGTTGTGGCGTGATAGTATCCCCTGTGGCGCTCGAAGGGCCCCGTATGTCCGTCCCACGTATGGTTCGGGTATCTGTAATTATCATCGACGTCGCTTTGAAATGGAAACAATCGGAAAGAAGCACGCGATGACTCGGCACTTGTGGACACGCGGACATTGAGACCCGGGAAGCAGGAGGCAGATGGCTGGAGGCTGGTGTACATACTGTACATTGTGCAAGGCATTCCTGTCGCCGTTGAAGTGCCTGTCGTCGTTGAACTGTAGGACGGAGAATAAACATGATTATTATGTAATGCGATGTAATTACTGTACCTTTCTCCGCATTCGCAACACGCGACCCGCGTCTGGTTTCTGTATCGGTGTTGACGGTACCTCGCATACTCTACGGAGTATTCACACAAGATCCGTCTTCGGTTGGTGTGCTTCCCATCTTTGCAAGAGCACTCTGCTCGACACAGGCACGCTTCAGTAGTGATGCCGCCCAAGCCTTCTGTTCGGGGCGAATACATCGAAACAGTCGGTCACCGTCCCACCCAGCAGATCCTCAACCTCGAGCAATTGCTGACCATCAGCTGCAGGAAACTGGCAACAAGATCAGTCGCCGAGCCAGCGTCCTGGGCCCGCGCCATATCATCCTTGCCGGGAAATGTGTCATTCAGCAGGACGTGGTGATCCATGGGGACCTCGTTCGACCTCCGCAGCCCAAGCCTGCCTCCCAACAGCAGCAGCCCGGCGACCAGAAGTCGGCGACGCAAGATCAGACCTCGATTCACCTGGGCCGCTATGTCTTCATCAGCCCCGGCTGCACCCTCCATCCCCCTTCCCGCCTCACGACGGTCCCGAATCCGAATGGCGGTGAGCCGCAGCAGATCATGACCTACTTCATGCTCCGCATCTCTGACTACGTCTATATCGGCCCCAATACACATATCCGTGCCGCAGAGATTCGGAGTAATGTCTGGATAGGCGCGAACTGCACGATCGGGAACATGGTCATGATCAAGGACAACGTCAAAATACTGGATGGCACGGTTCTTCCCCCCAACACCGTCTGGGCTGGAGGCACCATCATCGCCGGACGCCCGGGGAGAGTTGTTGGAGAGATTGGTGAAGGTTGGGCTGCTGGTGGGAGCAGTGGCTCTTCCGTGGACGAAGGAGTTGGCGTCAAGAGTAGAGAAAGATGGGCCGCGGTTGGAAACAAGAGGTGACACCAACAACGGGTGGAAGGCTGCCGTCTTCAACACACCGACGCGGATTTACAGCGAGGGATGAAGCTTTTGAGATTAACACGTCCCTCCGGAGCAGACTACTGTGGGCTCTCAAGGGTCCGCTTGTACCAATGAATCTCGGATCGAAAGCGGTAGAAGCCCATGCAATCCAGCAAGCTGCATGGCGTTTGAAGACCTTACGAAAGACGCAATCGAACAGCAGGCATTGAGTTAATGTCTCCATCCCATCGAATTGAGGAGGTCTGATTACCCAAGGAACTACACCAAGCCAGCCAGCTGCCAAAATGCATATATCCCGACTTCAAACTCTCGCGAAGGGGCTTTGCAATGCCTGCTGGAGAAAACAACAAGTACCAGCCCATCCTCCCTCACCTCCATCACACGCAGATGCGATTGTGCTGCGCAGTCATCCAACATTCTCAAGTCAATTCCTTCCGTCTACCATACCACGACCCCTGGATCGTTCCAGCAATAGCTGCGACCCTCAAACGATATTGTCCGCCCTAATTCCCATCACCTTGAAATCCTCGGCCGTCCAACTCCATCTCGATGGCTTACCGGATGAGCGTGAGGAAGGCGTCAAAGGGACTGTCGTCCAGGCTGCATCGCACGAGCTGTACTGGCGATGGCGTTGGTAGGATTGGTGACGATCATCAGAAACACTTGCAGGCTGTTTTGGTGATTGGATTGAATAACGTTCAACTGGCAGCTTCGTTTCTGTTGTCAAAGGCCACTCATTTCGGAATTCAACTCGTGATCCCACGCTCAGCTCTGGTGGATGCTGCCGGAGCGGGCTCTCAAAAGAGCTGTATCTTGTCTCGGACCTTTCCCGTGACGTCGATCTGGAGGCTGAAGCTGGCCGAGAATGAGCACTCCAAGGTCTCTCCCATGTGAGGACAGCTGCCGGTGTTGGTTCGGTGGTCGAAACCGGCTCGCGGTTCTGGTCGACGTCGGGATTGTGCTTTCCCCGACGCGGATTCAGAGGTGCAGGGACAAGACTGTCGCGCTCGTATTCGAATGGGGTTCTGCGATCTGGATCCTGTTCAGCCGGTGCTGAGCAGTGAACGACGGGATGATGTTGGTAAAGCGGATGGTCTTTCGGGATCGGGAGTGCTGCCATCATATCATCACGGTGCAGGTGCATTGGTGGAAGCCCATTGTACGATGTCAGTCGAGCCCCATGTCCCGACTCCACCGAGGCTCTGTCGGCGGTCCGAGCAGGAGGATAAGAGGATGCTGGAACGGCTTCGACTTCGGCAATGCCAGGTGAATGGCGACACGGGTTGTGGTCTTCGATTGACGCCGGCACCGGAAGCGCCGCCATATTGTCATGCCCGTATGTGAAACCGCCAAATCGATACCCACCAAGGTTCTCAAATGACGGTACATCTTGGGGTCTTGGTCTTTTCTCGACACCACTCTGGTGGCTTGTCTCAGCCTTGACACCAGCAGTGGGCGCAGGAATGAGTACTTGGCTGGGCTTTTCATGTCGTCGTTCTATTGCACGCATCTCTTCTTGATCTGCAACACCGTTTGGCACCTTGGCCCAGCTGCCTGTGTCAATGATCTTTTTCCACCTCCAATTTCCGCCTTGGCTGTCTGCTTGCCCGTTCACATCTGCAGCGTCGCCCACACGGATGCTTGGGCCTTGATTGCCGTGCCTCGGATCGCCGCCGTTCTCGCTCTCCGTGTCGTTGGCTTTGATGTGCATCCGACTTGTGCGCCGTGTCCTCCAAATTGCGACCCCGGCGAAAAGCAGGATCACCCCTGCGACGCTGAAGAAGGATATCATTGCCGGTTCATTCATGTTGGCGATGTCGTCCTGCGACTTATCACTCTCGGAGAACTGGGATGGTAGGTTTGGGTAGAACCTCTCCTGGAGGCTGGGGGTCGTAGGAGGCAGTGAGCTGCTCGGATCCGGCCCAGAGAGGGAGCAAACGTGATGAACAAGGATGAGAACAGAATGGATCAAATGACTGGCAACCGTAGGAAGGTGTGGGTAGAACGCTGTACTGTTGACCAAACAGAAAAAGAGAGGCAAATGCGTGTAGCTGCTTTCTCACGAGTTTCCAAGTAGGAAGTCGATGGGTGTTTAAATAAGATACCAACAACGCTGCCAGGTGAGCGAGTGCTGAGATACAAGGTCTGGTTTCTCTTCTGCCAACATCACAGCCCAGCCCAGCCCAGCCCAGCCCAGCGCATCCTCCCCTGATCCATATCGAGAGACACATCCTTCCTTTGAAGGACCCCACTGAGACCCTGTTCCTTATTTCGACCGGATCGAGAAAGCCAGCGAGTGAGTTCGTGAGTGGATGGGTTCATCCGAAGGGTGGATAGTATAGCTGCGATGGGTGTAGTTATACTGTCTCGTCTGGTTCCGTTTCCTCCAGCCTCGCCTGGATCTCATCGCGTGAGGGTCTCGTGTGTCCCTGTGTCGCCAGCCTGGGTAAGGGAGGCGGGCAGGCAGGCGAGGCATCGGTGAAATTGTGATATTGATATTGTTCCATTATTATTTTCGTTTCCCCAACTATCTGTTTCGGAAGCTCGTCTCTGCCTCTGCCTCTGCCTCTGCAGCAGATTGAGCCGTCCATCTTTGGCAGTCAGGGCTCCGGTTGTTTTGATTCAGGCCAAACAGGTTTCCTGGACGTTTATGGACCGTAAAGACACCAAGGACGGTTGCGGCGGTCATGACATCCGGCGGCGGCATTTTGAAAGCTCTCCAAGAGGTGAAAAGGGGTGGGGTTGTGCCTGACGGGTGTTGGGTGTCTTGGTTCTTTGATCCCGTTCCATAGGGGGTGGTGGGCGCGCAAGCAATATATTTTTTTTGTCTCGGACGAGGCTGCAGTATGTTCCAGCGCACACATAGGGCTTGGAGTTGGTTTATGGCAGCCCTCATTTCATCTAAAACCTATTTTGGGCCAGCTGAGAGGCGTCAAATCAAGGCTGTTAAGAGCGGAATCAGCCATGTGACGCGAAAAAATGTATACGGCTGGATGATTTACCATCTCGAAATCCCTGGTTTAACAGCAGCTGGCTCTCCTTCCCTCTCTCACGCTTCGTCGAGGGATATCTCCCTCTCGATAACTACGACTCCCGTCCACCTCTCCCTCGTAGACAGACTTGACGAGCCGTCGTCTCGAGTTCTCTGAAGAACTCTCGTTGCCACACCAGATCGTTGGTTCCGTCGTCGCTCCTGTTCGTCGGCACAAGCGATGGTCTCGTAGGTCGGCAAGCCATGAGGATCGAATCCGCAATACGGAGGCAAGTCAGACGGGGTCAGGGTTGGAGGGCTGCTGCTGAGCTGGGAAGGATCCCCAATCCATTCATCCACGACGTTGGGAGGGTTGGCAGTGTCGCGCTCAGTGCGCGGTTGCGCGGATCTTCTCCACCATCTGGTCAAGTCCGACCAAGACCGGGCCTGCGGGCGCCCAGTATCGGCGTAGAGAGAGTTGTAGGCGGGCGGAGGTGGCTGCGGGTTATTATTCACAGTGCCCTCGGCTAGGTCCAGCCTGACTCGTCGATGGCCAGGAAGGCATCCTTGTCCGCAACCCGATCGCCTCATCCTGATACGAGGTACAAAGCTGAGTATAACAAAGAACACGAGGACGACCGATATGAACGAAATGCCAACGATTCCTTCGATGGCGTTTCCTTTGAGCCCCATCTGTGTTGGGACGGCGTTGAACTGCAACACGACAGGAGGCATGAAGGTGGCTGAAGAGACAAGAAGGATTGATATTCTCACAACAGAATCAAGCAGAGATTATGGTGGTATGGACATACCTACCTACCTTACTAACTTTTTCATGCGTTGAACAGCAGTTGTGCGTGTCGAGGGGTGATCAACCACGCGAACCACAGGACTGAAAACCATATTTCCTGGGGAGCCAGATGGGACTCTCTGTGTTTCCGACTATCTCAGAACTTACCGTTCATAAATATCTCATTCAAAGCAGGAACCAAACACACAAATTGGAGCCAGATGATGGACACCTCGATGGATTAATGCTGTGATCCACTACGGTCAAGCCCTTTCACTGACTGACTCGCATAGGTCGGCATGTCAGAGTGTGATTACAGGAAGAGTTCAAAAGGCGAGACCGATGAGGGAGGATGATACCAGGGTTATCATCAGCGTAGCATGAGAGGATCGCTGAACAGGCAGACGTTGTTGACACATGTCGACATAACATGAGTTTGTCCAGAGTCGTCTATATTGGGTATAGCGTGTCTTGGCGGGGCTCACCTCTTGGCAAGAAACTTCGACTATTTATATCTGCCTCGCCGCTCGATTTCTATCTCTCTTTTCTTTTCTCTTCTTCATACTTGTACGGTCCCCTCCCCCGAGCACCATCAAGTTGTACAGAATGTGACTAACATTGCCATAGACCTTGTGGGAGCGACTCAGCTCAAGCATTGAGCCTGCTATAGTGGTGTCCCTGCATTGCACATCGCGGAGGATGTCGCCATCAAGTGTCCTTCGGGGCTCTTGTCCGCGTATTTTTTGGCCATGAATCACTCATTTTTCATCATTGTTCTTGCCTTGCAGCAAGATTTTGGAGAAGAATATGAAGCGGCAGAAAGGGAAGAAGAGGATTTGTCCTCGGCGAAGCTGTACTCGCTAGCTCATTGATGGAACAGTGAATAGGCAGCAGTTGGTGTATCTGCACGCTACCCAAAGTGACCGAAGTGGCCAACTCTCTATGTATGGTGTCCAGTTACTCGCAATCATCCGGTGTCTCATGCATGGGGTTTTCTGCGATAGCTGCTTGACTGTAAACGGGCACATTGCTGACCTTTTGTTTTGCTCGTCTTGAAAGGTCAGACCATGAAACAGCCTCCCCCGGGGATGGGCCCCAAGGCACAGAGCACTTTGAGCCATGTGCAAGACACATCTTCCACAGAGTCGGCTTCTGCCGGGTTGAGATTTCGCAACGGACGCAACCCGAGGGTTGCATGGTGTTTTTTAGTCAAATGATTGAAAGCTCCTTCTACTTCTAGATGACAAGGATGGTATTTCATCACAAACTTGGCCTGTCTAGGCAGATACAGTTGAGATGAACTTGAAACCACGGAGAAGCTCAACGGTTTCAGCGGTGTGCTCGCAGCAAGGAAACCTTATCCCTCCAAGGGGGATTGTTCGAGTTTGCATCAGGTGCCGTACCATGTTCAATAAAGTTCAACCCATCTACATATGTACATAAAACATACACACCAGTTGGGTGCCAGTAGGGGCATTGCAGGTGTCATGATCAAATCACAAGGGCAGCTCTGCATCAGCTGGTGAAGTCGCCAGCAGACAGCACGAGGGGTGTGATGACATGGACACTCTCAGGTGGTGAGGTGTGGCACAGGCTTGTGCACCAGCCTTAGCCTCAGCCTCAGCCATGCAATGCGTTGGTCACCGCCACCGCTTTTCTCGCTCTGTCCGCACCCACCTTTTTTGAGTCAAAAAGAATTTGGCGAAACACCGAGGTTCGCTGCGTGGTCCACCCCACAGCTAAAGGACATCACATCCCGGCCATTTGCCCTCCTCTGGCGAAGGCCGTGTCTCATGCAAGCTGAGATAGTTTCACTGAAAGAGGGCTGGATAGGGGCATGATCAACGGATGGCTTTGCCTGTTGTTCGAATGTGATGACTGATGGGTGCTGGGACGTGGTCGATTGAACGCATCATCCAAAGCTGCCGCAGCACGCTTTTTTGACAATGTATCTATCTACTCTGCACTTCACACACCATGGCTTTTGTAACTATTCCACAAGCGGAGGCATGGTCCCAAAAAGGCACCAATTTTACAGGTATTTGTCCACTGCATGCGCTGTCAAACATGACCGAAGGTGGCCATGCGAAGCCTAATCATCATGTCAACTCGGGCTTCCCCTCTGTGTGCACACCACGAGTGTCTCTTGCTTCGCCAGATTTGCCATCAGGACCTTGAGTCTCAACACCAGTAGACCGTTCCGGAGGCTTCTGCGGATCTGGCTGTTTTGCTGGGTGGTCTCTGCCTTCTTTCGTCGTGACGCTTTTCGCAGCTCTGACGTGCTCATCACGCTTGTCGAGGTCAGGATCGTTGTCGTGTTTGGTCTGGTCAACCACGGTTGCAACACCTCGATAGGGGCGCGAAGGAAGGGGTCCAAATCTAGGGTGGGAGAACCCCGCGATGCATTGACGAACACTTGCAGCTGAAGTCAGGCGAACCCGCCATGCGGTTGCTGCCTGGCAATATGTGGCCATGCTGTCGGATGAGAGACGTGCGCAAGTCTAATCGAGCAGGTCAGAGGTTCTGAATGAGCAAGATGATCGACCGAGGACGCCTAGTACTCGCTGTGGTTGTGCAGGTGGTCCTAGCATTGTCAGAACTCTTGACGCACCCAGTTCCATTTTATTTGAATTAGTCCAGATAGAGTCTGAGAGTTGAAATCAAATCATCATATCAGCATCATCAGCTCGGAAGCCACTTCCGTCAGGTTGTGTTGTCCGAGACCATGACCTAGGTGGACAAGCATCATTTACACAGAGGCTGTCCGTTTAATGTGAGATGACATCGATGCATTGTCAGTCAATTGTTCAATCGGTGCCAGCCATGTGCGGCTGCTTGGAGCTGTCATCAAAGCTCATCGTGGCATGAAGAGGCAGGGTAAGAACCACCAGTCCTCCATTGGGGCAGCTGCTCTCGCCGGATGTGAACATCGAAACGATAATTGACTGGGATACTTTCGTGCCTCACCATTGCCAGTCTGGTGACAACCCTATGGACGATTGGCTCAGATGATGTTGGTGGCAGATGATGAGAGGACCACGGCGAGTCGCTGGTCACGGGAAGCACATTACAGGCAGGTGGTGGTTGTGGTTGTGGCTGTGGCTGTGCCTTTTCAGGTTGGCGATCTGCGACAGCAATCGTGGCAACTAGGGGACGGGTGAAAGATATGGAAGGGGTTATGAGACTCGTCAGGAGGTCAGAGCATGTGCAGTCGCTATCCGGAAGGCGGGACAAAGAAAGCTGAGACAGGATATGGGCCGGGCTGGAGTGGCTTGAAGCAAGAGGACACGGAACTCCAAGACAAAAAGCCTGCTGCAGCAAGTCGCGCGTCTTGAGGCGAGGAGGACATTAGCAGATGGAGAGCCGTGTTTCACCAGTCACCGGACGAGCCAAAGAAATGATACCGCACACGGATGATGTGCGTTTAGCGACTGGCCAGTGGTCCCACGCGAGAGACAAACCCCTGAAGCGCGTCCACGGGGACGTGGAGGGGTGCCTAAAAGTGTATCAGACGTGTCAGGCGGGTGTCTCGACCCCTCAGCCAATCGATGGACCAGGGGGGCAGCACTTGGCCACAAGGATGTGTCAAGTGGCCAATTTTGGACAAAGGCAGGGTTAGCGGGGGAGGTAAGGGAGGGTCAAGTCAGGAATGAGGCAGGAATGATGAAAGTTGGGATACGAGAGATTGACCAACCCTTCGTATATTAGCTACAATGCCGAGGCAGGGTACTACGTACCGTACTTTAGAGAAGCATGGGGGAGCTGAATGTCTCTCGTAAAGCGTAATGGGGCAAAGGGAGAAAGGCCACGAAAGGGCAATAAGCTGCAAGGACGGCCAAATAATTACTTGACAGATGGCCGGTAGCAGCTGGATCGACACTTGGCGGTGCCTGGGCAGGGCGGGAGCTGTCTTAAGCTCGAGTGGTCAATGGGCACTCCGAACAGCTGCCTGGTACTCCCGCACTCTCCGGACTAGCCACTGGTACCCAGAGAGCGAGTGCCGGTGGCTGCTACGGCATGTCGCCATCCTCCCAAGCGCGCCCATCACTGCCTAACCAGTCCAACCATCCGTGCATCCATCCATTCCCCCTTTCACCCTGTCCTGCCGCTTTTCCACATGCAAAAGTATCAACTGAATTGATCATTGGATACACTAGTGGTTCAGTTGGTCAGTGGGCATTGAGACCTTCAGCAAGGAGGACACACGCGACACGGGCTCAGAAACTCAACAGGATCCGACTCCATCAGGCCCATCGGGAATAAAAAGCCCAGTGCACATCTCAACCCCATTAAAAAAAGCGTGTGCATCGGACTGTAGACGTGCTTGTGCGAACCGCGGCCCAATCCACACGCTCTGTTTGCCAGCCGCCAGCACTGGCCGAAACAAGGAACCCTCTCGCCAACTCGCCTGCGATTCTAGCCACTGGGCCTGCATACCTGACTGCAACCTGTAGCTGCGACCATTCAGGGTCTGTGCAAGCGCCCATTCAATCTATAACAGGTGTTTGTGGCAATGCACTTTTGATTCAGAAACCAGGCACTCAATCAGATTCATAAAAACCACCTTCTCATCGCTACCTCACCTCAACCTTTTCCTCCTTTTCCCCCCTCCATCCGGAATCCTCACCTTCGTCAGTGTCGAAGGCTTGAGCTTGAGCTCTTCGCAAAAAAGCCCCCCTGTCGCACTACCCTGATACCTCCCTCCTCTGGGGCCGGCCTCCCCACCTCTCACAAGCCTCTTCGAGTTCGCATCCTACCCCAAAGTGCACCCTAGTGCCTCTTCCGCCGCTCCAGGTTCCAACCCCTGACAAACCGAACAATCCTTGCCTGCGCCATCCAGGGAGCAAGAAAAAACCCTAACACCCTCCAACGGTGCTGCTTCAAGCCATCCGCCAAATCTGTGCTCCGTACCTGGAGTTTATCGTCCGCCTATCCACTAGCTGCAGAGGCCACAACCCACTCTCCTGCATTTGCTACATCAACTTCGGGTGCACCTTTTCAGGAGAACAACTCGCTTGGATACTACGAGACTCTCTCTCAAACATCAGGAGCTGCATCCCTGGGCCGTGCCTAGGACCACCAATAATTCGATATATCCCACAGACTCGTGTGAACTTCTGAGTCTCTCTTCCTGCTGGCCAGGTGAAGGAAAAAAAAGGTCTACATACAGAACTTGGGCCACTTAATATCTTGGATACCCAACCTCCCCGCTTGTGTCAGAGGCCTGTCACTTCACTTCAGTCCACTCGCTTCGTTCTTGAAACCACTCTGAGAGAAATCTGAAGACAAGTCCTTAAACCCACGGACTCGCCTCAACTCCAAGACACTCCCTTGATCTCTTCACCTTCTTACCACCAAAGCTCAAACAATCGATCCCCCAACATGGAGTCCAAATACACCTTGGCCCAGAACAGGGCTGCGTTGGAAGAATTCGTTCGCCAGCCTGTCCGGACCTACATGGTTCAGCACCTTGCAAAGCAAGCCTCACAGGTCATTCGATGTGACCCAGAGCCTCTGCCTTCAGCAGACTCTTTGCCCACCCCTCCCTCGACGCCGCCTCATCCAACTTCAGCAGAGCCCGCTCAAGCACCCCTTCCGAGCCTCGAACAGTTCATCAGCTCCCTCGTCAACCGCTCTGCCGTTCAAGTGCCAACGTTGATGACCTCCCTGGTCTACCTTGCCCGTCTTCGATCAAGACTGCCACCTGTGGCTAAGGGCATGAGGTGCACCGTTCATCGTATCTTCCTCGCATCCTTGATCCTGGCAGCAAAGAACTTGAATGATTCAAGCCCGAAGAACAAGCACTGGGCAAGATACACGATGGTAAAGGGCTACGAGGGCTTCGGGTTTGGGCTGGCAGAGGTGAATCTGATGGAGAGACAACTCCTGTACTTGCTTGACTTCGACACCCGCGTCACCGAACAGGACTTGTTTGACCACTTTGAGCCATTCCTCGCTCCTATTCGCTTCCAGATGGAGCTCCAGCAAGAAGAGGCAGAACTCATCAGCGGCCACCGCCATTGGCATTCTCACCAGACCTCCTACGACTCGACCATGTCCGTCCCGCCTCTCACTCGCAAGGAGCCGATCCAGGCCATCGTTGCGACGCCCCCACCTAGAGCGGTGGGTGTCTATGATTCCCCCGCCTCCTACATTGACGAGGACCTGGCGAGCGGTCGCTATGGAAGACACAAGGCCAACAACAGCTCGTTGTCATTGCCCGCTCCCAGCCATCGACGATGGCCATCACCCTTCCGCCATCACGCCAACACTCGATCGGTGTCGCCGCCATCCATTCGAGATCTTCCGCCTCTGGTTTCCTCCGGCAGACCTGGCACGATGCACAGCCACAGCAGTTCCCGTTCCTCTTCGCTGGCGCCTTCCTCACGCTCTAGATCTTCCTCTCTCGCGCCCACTTCCCGCGGCACTCCATACACTGCATCGTCCAACATCGACGACAGCATTGTGGTGGTTGATCTGACCCAGAGCCCTGACGCCTCATATCACAGCACCTACGGCAAGGCTATCTCGGCATCGCGGCCCAGCCTCAAAGGTCACCAGACAAGCTTCCAGGGCGAAAGCCAACAGCCCGCCAAGAAAGTCAAGTCCGAATCGGTGGGGGGTGTGATGGCGAGGTTCTTCAGTTCTGCCACGAGCAACTATCGAATCGGAAGAACACCTATTCAACAGGCAGCTTAGGAGGCTCTTGTTATTGTCGACGACAGCAAAGCCGGAAGGAAACGCAAGCGACCACGTCACAACTGATCTACAGAGTTGTGCAATATCAACCCAGGTGCTGATGACCAACCAAGCAGATTCCCACAAACGACTCATGCCATCTACGTCTCCGACTTGACAACATTCTCTCAATTTACGGCCATTCCTTTTTTTTCAGGTTTACTCATGCTGGTGGGGTGCAACTTCTTGCATAGCGACGGCGTTGTCAGGGGACATTTCAAAATTGACACAACACAAATCAACGGGGCAGGCATATTTTCTTGGAGACGATGGAGCTGATAACAACCACCCATTTTCACATGTAACACTAAGTCCTACTTTAGTCAGAGAGATCGCCGTGGAGTCGGGAATGCAAAGCTATCCGCGAACAAGCAGTATTCATTGGACTGGTGCCAATGGATTTTTCTTTTGTCGGAACGAAGGACAAGAAGTTGAGGCGGAGAAGAGAGACAGACAGCCTCAAAAGGGTGACGACAGTGACGATCACAGCGGCGCTGCGGCCCGCATGAAGACAGCCGAAACCTTGGATAGAGAATCTTGCCTTATTGAAGGGAAGAATCTGATCCCGCTTCACTACTACAAAAGAGTTTGTTCGATAAAACCAACCGAAATGGATTCATTTGAACAACTGAGTTTTATATGACTTTCCTAAGTTTTCTTGAGTTTCCTGCCTCGAAGCCACTGAGTTTTATCGGAGCAGACCTCACCCGGACTTTTTGGGTGGTGTCGATAACTATCATGTATGTCAACTCCATACTTACTACTGGCTAGTACGAGGTATATCTTGACCGAAAACTCTGTCTTGTGAGGGAGAAAGAGAATGTGTCTGTGCGTGCTTCCCCCGCCTTTTCTTGCCCTCTTATTTATAAAGTTCAGGGTCTTGAATGTCCCGAAGATATATTGGATTTCAGGGCCGATAAGAGCAAGAAATAAACTCTGCGACTCTGCATAGTGAATTCAGGTCCTTCTCAACCGACCCGTGTTGAATGATGGATCATCTGATCGCCCAAATTGATCATATTGAAGTAGTCTCTCGTGTCCCTGTGTTCGGTAGATATGTACCCCGGTTCACGACGATAATTCTGTTCCAGTCCATCCCACCATATCTCCCGCTCACATGCACCTCCATGCGTCCAAAACTCCGGAGTACGCGGTTAGCAAGCCAATGAGTGTACTGTACCTCGTACCCAGTATGTAGTACGGTAACCTTGTACTTGACAGAATGGGAAAGGGATATGGGGTGGCCGGGGGGCAGGTATTACCACCTTGCTCCGAACAGATCGACACACATATTACGCCGTCGCCTTGATATTATTATTATTATGTGAAGAATAGTAGAAAGTGGCATGTGAGGAAGGGGGTTGAGAGGAGGATGCATGAACCCATCCTCGCCTTCCTAGACTCCCTGCCCCCCTCCCGTCCTTTCCACTCTGACTTCTGATTTCTAACCGTGCCGGAGAATAGAGCGAGGGGGGCAATCTCGCTTCTAGCGCGAGAGAGAGAGAGAGTAGAACTTTCACATACGCACACACGTTCGCCTTTTGTGAGTAAAGCACTCTTGGTACGCAGCGGCAAAGAAGGCACTCGGTGTTTGAATATGATCCGATTCCCTATCAGTATCGGTATCAGTCGGTTCATGTGCCTTCCTGGGCATGCATGCATGCATGCATGCCCTTACCTGGCGCTGGGTCCTCCTGCACCCGAGAAGTTACTACTAACTACTCCTGTTACCGAGTACAAGTTGCGTACTATACTGTAAATGCACTGCTGCGCAGGGGACAAATTGAATTGCCGAAGAAAATCTTAGAGGTGGGTATTCATCACCTGATAATGATAATGATACCAAGATACCAGGAAAACGGTAGTTGAAAGTGGTTCCTGGCTTTCTTCTCCCTGGTCGCTGGACGCTGGACACTGATGATCCTCCTCGCCTCTGTACGAGTACCTACAGTAGTACATGCCCTCCCTGCCTGGGCCTTGTCAAGCGAGGGAGGAGGGTAGAGTATGTAGCATCGTCCTTCCTTTCATCCAATCCAAGTCCGGGACTGTGGCACTCGTATGTGAGCACCAAGTCCTCTGCTGGTGGAGGAGCCGCTTCGAAGCACTCGCCCCCTTCCACTTTGCAGGAGTGGGAAATTGAAATGGTGCCTTGCTTTCCCCCCTGCCCTTCCTTATCGCATCCCCATACCCATACGCACTGAGGCCCACCACCACCGGTGCCAGTAACGGTGTGTCCTCGTATGCCTGTGCCTGCTCTATGCCCTCCGTACCTCTCGTTTTCCTCCGTCCACGGTCGAAGGTGACCACTACGGGAAAGTCCCGGTCGAGATCATGCGTCCAATTGCCCTCGAGAGGACGGCCCTCCATGAACGATGTAAATGGATGGGCCACTGCTCGCGACCGTGTTCGGCACGGGCCAGGCCTTCTGCATGGTGTTAAGACCAAGACGTCAGGGCCTTATCTGCCATGGGGCGTGATGCTGATCAGTCCCTTTCACAGGGTCGATGGTCAGAAGACCGACATCCTGGGGAATACGAAGCAGCGCTCGTCGTTTGAGAACGTGTCCATGACCCTCGCATTAGGGTCTTGTGTCCCCTGCATGCTCTTGTGGACGATCGTTTGGTCGCAGATCATCTTTCGACCGGATCCTCGAGAATCAGTATCGTTTCAACCTGCTTGCTCATTCGCCCTTGTCCGCCCCGCTGCCCGTGTGGATATTCTCCTCTGGGGTTGGTTCAAGTTCCTGCTTCTCACTCAAATTGATCCTCGTCCCCATGCCCCATCCTAGGCCGTTCGTAATGGCCCTGCCAACTGACCACCCTATCACCACTCCCCAAATGACCGTACACGGCCATTTCTGCCACTCGCGATCCCAGTCCAGGGCCATCGGAATGGCGCCGACCCAGCCCCCAATGAAGCTTCCCACGGTTCCCCCCCACACACCTGCTGAGTCGAACGGAAGCCACGCGGCTGCAATGTCCCGCCAGGCTAGGGAGGAAACGCCGTGGGTGTAGAAGAGCGGTAGAAAGCCGAGCAGGGAAACATGAACTGAGAGGAGAAGGGTGAGGGGGAGAAGGGAGGTCGGGTATAATGGCGCGCCTAGGACGAGGGCGACTAAGGCGAGCGGAAGAGGTGGGAGAGTGAGCGTAAGGATCAGGGAAAAGAGCGTCGGCTGTGCCTCGCTGAGCGTCAGTAGTCCAACCTTGAAGAATCATGGAAGGTCATAGATATTGAAGAGTGAAGAAAAGACTTACCATGATCCTCGCCCCCCATGTCCCGTCTCCAGCTGCGGCTCCTGCACCTCCCTTCGCAACGCCATGACCATGGCTTTTGCCCACACCTGCTCCTCCGAGATTCTTCTTCCGCAGACTCCCTCCTCCCACCGCCCCAGATACCTTGGGACTCTTAGGGCTCTTCTGCACTGGACTGGCCGTCCCCTCCACAATCGGGCCGCCTGGCGTACCAGATACCCACGAGCCAGCCGGTGGAAGGCAGATGGCACAAAACAGGCACTGCAACGCAGCAATGACAGCCAGGTCGCTCAGGAGAGTGCTGGAGGGGTCTGCGACAAGTGCCGAGCCCCGGATATAGTAGTATATCGGAACGAGAGCGGTGTGGATGTAGCTGTAGCGTCGAGCGAGCGAGGAAGAGAGCAGCGGGATGGGATGGGTGGTTGGCGTGAGCAGGCGGGCTTTGCTCGAGGGCTGGGAGGGTGTAGGAGGGAGGAGATGCGTGAGAGAGGTGGACATCTTGTAGGACGCACTCGCTGTTGACTAATAAATGTCGAACGAACAGAACAACGAGAGAGAGTATCAGGCCATCGTGGCTGGCTGCAAGCAAATCCGAGAACTGGCTGCTCTCAACGCGTCTGCAACTTTGGGATTCTTGAGCTTGGCGAGTTGTGTGAGTTTAGATTTCAGCCTCTCGTCACGCCCCTTTGCGGGTCTACTCTGTAAAGGCGGTGTCAGGGTTAGTTTCAGAGGCCTTTTTCAGGTCGAAACCCACAAAGGACCTCATTTTCTTGTAATCGTTTTGAACTGCGTATGTCATACTCAAACAAATCGCCACTCTTCAGGTCGTATGTATTCATACATAAACACTGTTGCCTCGCTCTTACTCTCGGAGAGCTTCATCACATCTGTATGGGTATCTCTTGCAAACAGCTTCCCCCGTTGTAAAGCCCTCATAAACCGAAGGCCTCTGTCAAGACATGGCCGGAAGAGCCATGTTACACCTTCCAATGCCAAATTTCAGATAAAGAATCGCACCCAGCAAGTCAAACAAGAAGCTCGTTGTTGTGTGTGAAATTCAACGAATGTAACGCAAACAAGCCTCTGGTCGCCTCTCATATAACAGCAATCTGCTGCGAATCCCTGGCCGTCTCAAATGTATCCCGCTGCTCCTCCCGTGGGGTTTCGTAGACGTCCTCAAACCCTTCCTCCGCATCCGAATCTTCTGTCCCGCTGAAACGAGAGATTTCCTGCGGTAGAGGGTGGTCGAGCTGGAATGGATGGGTTCGATGCAATGTTTTCAGTCGAGGCGGTGTGCCCGATAAGTTCTGCTTCGACTCAGGACTGGGCGTTGGATATGGTTCCCTGATGGTTGCGTAGATGGGAACCCTTAAGCTGTCCATTTCCTTCTGGAGTTCGTGTATTTGCTCCTCCAGTTTTTGTCGAGCCGCCCTTTCTTCTTTCATCATGTCTAACAAGGCCTCGAACTTATCAGAAGGAATATGAATCGAGGACGGCGAAGTCCCCCTCGATCGTCGCGGCGATCTTCTTCTCGCGGTGGCAGGCCTGATCGTGGCAGTCGTGGCTTTGCTTGCTCTTTGAGGGTTGAACATATCATCGACGCCCGGAGAAGGCACCGGAGACTCGCCAGGGGAAGACAAGAAGGTGAAATCCTGAACTCCACCGGAAGAAAGGTATCCCAAATCACTCGACGAACTGCTTGTCAACATCAAGTTCGTCCTACTCTGCTGGAACAAGTCGCGTACGGAGTTTCGGCTGAACGGTCTGGGATTCAGCCTTGGATTCGGCAGGTCGTTACCTTGGAGTTTGGCCAGGGCAAATTCAAAATCGAAGAGCTTGATCTCGAGAGTATTGACCCTTTGCTCGAGCCCAATTTCGTCTCGCTCTGGACTTCCGAGACCAAAGTCGAAAGACTGCATAGGGTCCACGGTGGAACGATCGTGCTCCGAGCCGGCGATGGCACTCTCTGGTCCTAGGACGTGTGTGGGATCTACTGAGATCGACTGGCCACTGTAGACTGGCACAGGGTTTTGGATGGCACTGTTGCGCCAGTAAGCAATTTCACCTGCTCGATCACGAGTTGAAGGGCGTTGGACGGTGCCTTGATGGAGCAGTTCGCTGAGTGCATCGGCGCTCCGAGATCGCCGCTTGAACTGACCGTCGGAGACACAGTCTTCTTTCGTCCTCTGTTCCACGCCAGCCGATTGTGGTGCCGGCCAATCCGCAATTGCCGGTACAAGACTCGACTGGATGTCACTGAAGACCAGGCTGGGCAATGTGTTGCGGCGCCCGCGCCGCGGTGGAGGCGGTAAACTTAGATGAACAGGTTCAAACGGTGGATACGTGGTGGAATGTGAGGTCAGCGCCGCCCCTCGCGAAGTTGTGTCTGCTCCGAAGGTGGTAGAGGAGTCCAGTCGTGTTCGCACCGGTTGTTGCTCTGTGACGGGCTTGAGATGTCCAGAGTCGCTGTAGTGAAACCCACTGGTATCAGTAGGCACAGATCTATGTTTCTTGCTCGAAAACATGCGTTTGAGAGTCGCGCGCAATCCACTGGGTCTCTTCTGGTGCAACGACGCCTTGGACGGAATGGAAGACATGGAGCTCGGAATCAGTGATGGCCCGGCAGAGGTTCGAGCACGCGGTTGTGGCGGGACATCACTGACATGTCGCACATGGGCATCCTGGGTCGCCGTACTGGCCCGTGGCCATGTGGTGTCCTGTTGTCGTTGTCCCGAAGGATATCTGGTGGGTGGCACGGTGCTAGTGCCGCTGAAGACTCCGGACTCGTCGAAGGGAATTGGATCAGATATCTTCAGGTCGCCACGGCGCAGAGCGGCGCCGGTGCTGGCGAGGGACAACGATCCAGAACCCTTGGCTTTATGATTGGGAGACGGCATGTCGCGAAATTGCGAGGCTGAACGAATACTACCTCCCAGAGATCACCGACCACACATCATCAGCACTGGGCGAATGAGTCCTGAGGGTGTAGCATCGTGCGTGCTGGATGCTTCCTCGCTTGATATGAGCCGGCTTCACAGAGCGTCAACCGACATGGGGACGCTCGCCGCGATGAGTGCTATCCCTGGCGGTCGCAAGAGTGGCACGGTTGCATCTGTCAACGGAATGTCAGTCGCGACAACCCGTCTCACTCAGATCTTTTGAACGTCTGGAAGGCTACCATAGGGTTTCTGGAAGATTAAGATTGACGCCAAAAAGTATATCTAGATAAGACGACGACTCCAGTGAGAGGAGGTGGTGAGAAGGAACAGTGGGCCTGACAAATGCAGGGCCAATGATGACCTTATGAAGGAGCGACCAGGGAGTAGTTGGAAGCCAGACACGGCGCACGCAAACCGAAGGTAAGGCAGACTCGAGAGCGGGCAATGGGGCGAGATAAGAGGAGCGAGACACCGTAGAATGGCAATGTTGCAGATGGTAAAATGGAGGGCCGCAGCGGCTATTGAAGAAAAGAAGACAAGAGCTGTGAGCTGGAGCTGGCCTTCGCTAGAACGACAGACTTTGGATGCGCAAGACGGCAGTGTATCCTTGTAGATCGCAGACTTGGAGTCGGTTTCGGCTTCGCTTCGACCCGCACGGCCATTCCAAGCTTCAAGCTTCAAGCCGCAACAAGCCCTCTTCTGGGAAGGGGAAGGGTAAACAGACGGGAGGAGGTGTGACACTCTGCCCGGCGTAGCCTAGAATGACAGCTGGCAGCGTCCCACTCGCACCGGTGTGCTTGCAGCTCCTGCTGTCATTCTCTTTTTGTTCCTGGTTCCTGTTTCCATGATGACTTCTGGGCCCCAGGAGATAGAGTCGGTCAGTCGGGGACGGCGCAATGACCATGGAGGGGCAGGTTTTGCTGGTCCTCTGACCAGGATGGAAGCGGGTGTGTGAAGCAGAGTGAGCCAGGAGGCAATGGAAAGAGGGAAGTGTGGGTGTCAACGACTCAAGGCTGGGCCGGCCATCGACCAGTAGGGATAGAGAGCCGCCGATGCGCCCCGGTCAGTCATTCGTTAGCCTTGGAGGGGCTCATTAGACATGGCTAGGCCTGACTAGGCGTCGCTAGGCGTCACTAGACCTGCCCACGGTGCCCGCGAGTTACTAACTACTCCTCGTACAGCACCTTATTCTCTAGGATTAGAGAGTACTAGGGGGTCACTAGGGATGTTCCCTTGTGTTGCACCCGTCTCGCCGTGTCCTTGCCTGCTGAAAACAATTTAATTTATTATATTGTCTCTGGCAAGGAAACCAACAAACCAACAAAAAAAGTCACCTGCCGGCCCCCGAACCAACCATCATGCTCCCACCATCTTGTCCATCCCACTAATGAACTATCGACATCCCAGACGTGCCGGTTGGCTGCAGCTGTTATTGGCTCCTTCTCCCTCCTGACTGGTCAGCAGCAGTTCGTGGCCTCCCGCAGGTGTTGTGGCACCTCCCCATCTCACCACCCACACGACCCTCGCCCTGCTCCTCCGACCGACCCTACGCGCTGAGTCCTGCACAAACATACCACCGCGACTCCGGCCAGCTGAAAAGAAAACGGGTCACGAAGGAGGAGGGTCAGAGAAGACGAGGGCGACCACCCCCCTCGTCGGACACTATCCCCGCCAACTATACCCTGTCGAGCATGACCACATGTGTGTGTTGGGCCTCCTCCAACCTGGCCAATCCACCCCTTCCCATTCCGTTCAAAGCCATTGGATTCAATCTGACTACCCCTGCGCCATGCAGCGATGCAAGTCATCTTTAGCGCCAAAATACCCGTTTGCGACTGAGGTCACGCATGGGAAGCCGCTCACATCGCTGTTTCGAAATCATACAAGCGAACTTGGAGGGGAGTCTGGGACAAAAACATGTCTCTCGCCGGAAGTCCCGCCAGAAACGGCCAACCGACATTAAACCCAAAAATCCCACCGGAGGAGAAATCACAAAACGTGCTCGGAGAACGCGGATCAGCATGCGGTAAGGCTGGTGAGGACTTACTATTACGAGGAGTGCCCACGATCCAGGAAATCAGCGACATGTCCGCTTCGCCAGGAGCAACGACAGGCTTGCGTGTTCCCGCTTGTTGCTAATCAGCGTTCATGGTTGGGAAACCTTGGAACTCTCCATAGGAACTTTGCTGACCCTTTGCGAAGGGCGTCTGCTCTCCAGAAGCGCGAAATGCGGTCTGATTGGCCTGGTCTTTTTCCGTTTTACGTTGTCGCAACGAACCCTTATCTTGGCTCTTCTTTGGCCTTGACGCCGACGACAGAAACACGACCCCTTCTTTTCTCTTTCCATTGGCTTCCTTGCCGCAATCGAAAATGTATTCTGGTAGCTTGCCGATTTGCCGGCTTCTTCTCGCGAGCCTTGAGAAGTGATACCTCCACCGTCATTTTTCGGCCCCGCGACGTGTGCATTGAGGATCCCAGGGGAATTGTGCGGTGGAGGCCTGATTGATCCTGTCGCAACGGCGGGCTCCGTGGTCCGCAGCAATAACAAAGGCACTTGCCTGTCTTCCGTTCCCGCAGATACAACATTGAATGCGCCTCACAAGGCGTCCAATGATGTGAATCAATGGTAACGTCCCTGATTGACGAATCTCAGGTTGATTGCGTGGTCAAATCGGAAATGCAGCTGTGATGGAGCACTTTGGGCGACAACCAGCCAATAGCCCATCAAACAACGCTTTATTTGTTGAGGACAGCCCACGTCAGACCTGTCACCTCGACATGATGAAACTGGCTTGCCAGGGCACCTTCGTATGCGTTTCAAATGTCCTCGATCGCAAACCAATACGAGGCGGGCTTCCCGCTGGTCCTAAGTTCATTTGCGAGAATGACCACCGTTGGGTCCTGAACGGCCCAGGTCATGAGCCCGAGTTTGCAGATCTCTGAATTGCAGGACGCCGTGCAACGACGCCAACTACCCGAGTTCCAAATCCTCGATGCTTGGATATCGCAACTCAGCATGGTCCTCCAAAAATTTCATCCACCTCTTCAAAAAGGGGCTGCCTCGAGAAACAGTCTCTGAATCGCCAATCACGCACAAATGGCGCTTCGGTCGGGTCATTGCAACTAGAGACCGCAATTGTCAGATACTCTGCGCCAGAAAACTTGATCCCGCCTGCAGGATGCTTGCATGGACGCAAAACACAAGGACGCAACTACCATGGAACTTTTCAGAAACACGCAAAAGTACACGGAACGGGCAGTCAAGGAGCGTATAGGGAGATTGAACCTACCGTTTAATCTCCTTTTCTCATCCAGGAAGCCCACCTCCCTTTCAGCGTTGCTTCTGACCAGACTGACAACGACGGCTTCCTTCTCTCGGCCCTGAAAGCCATCCACGCTGCCCAATTCAAGTTTTGGATACTTCTCCTTGAGTAATGAGCTCAGAAGAGCGAGCTGAGCGTTGTAGGGTGTGACGACCGCGATGTCTTCGTCCCTGACTCCCGCTTCTACTAGGTTCTTGACATGCATGGCAGCCACAGCCGCTTCCATTTCATTGCACTTACTGTCTCCCAGCAGGGTCGACTTGTGAACCTGGCCGCCTGAGTCGTCTTCTGTCTTCTCTGGAAAATCGCCCCCTTGCGTGTCGAAAAACACAAGCGGCTCCGCGGTGTCTTCGGTCTCTTTTACTTCGTATGGTAGATCTCTTAGCAGTCGGGATTTAACAGCATCCGCCGCGATGAGCTTCCCGTCATACAACTCGTCGCTGGGGAACCGCATTATTTTTTCATGCATTCGATACTGCGTATTGAGCAGCCTCTTAATCCCAGATCCGTGTCTGGCCAACAGCCGGTCAAACATTGTGGTTTCCAACGACCAACTCTTCGCGGCCTTTAATTCTTCGTCCTTGACAGACAGCTTGGCCAATTCTTCCTCCAAGGTTTTGATCCTTGCTTTCTTTTCCACCTTGTTGTCTTTGTTATCTGCACTCTTGACTGTTGGCGGCAACTGCAGATGGTCGCCCGCTAAGACCAGCTTTTTCACGTTGGGACCTCCGAACACCAGTGGAATCCAGCATTGTGGCTCGAGAGCTTGACTCGCTTCATCAATCACCACGACGTCGAATGCCTGGTTGCGGACTTGATAACTCCCAGCCCCGTGGAGCGTCGACAGTACGACTTTGCTACCCGTCACCAGCCCATCAATGCACTTTCCCTCGCGCTCACGGTACTCTTTCCTTAACTCTCTCAGGTCAGCGTAAATTGCCCGTCGTTCACGGCCATTGCGAGTCTTCCGAATTGACGCCTGCTTCGCATCCATCTCCTTGCGCACGTCGCTCACAATTCCCGCCGCTTCGCTCGTCCGCGTCAACACTTCGAGCGAGTGGTTCAAGACACTTGGCAAGAGGCGGGCCGGATGACCGAGACGAACGATTGGTGTACTCGGGGAGGTCAAGGAGAGACGTTCTACGATGTTGTCCACGCTGATGTTGCTGGGTCCGCATACCAGCACCCGTTGATTACGCTTGAGAAGCTGTAGAATGAGTTCGATGAGGGTGTACGTCTTTCCTGTTCCGGGCGGACCGTGGATGAGAGCTATCTCGGGCGAGGAGAGGGCGAAGCGGATTGCGTCTTGTTGAGACGGGTTTAATGTCGGGTCAAAGAAAGTGATGTCGCTCGAGTCAGACGAGTTGGTTGTCCCTGTGGAAGAAAGGCCCAGGAGGACGCGCTGGAGCGTCGTATATGACGACTCGGGCGTCTTGAGTAGTCTGGTAAGGGTCTGGTTCATTCTTGAGACGCCACAGTCAACCATGACTGATGCTCGAGGCGACGTGTGGGCAGAACTCACCTCTTGTAAGTGACGTCGTTCGCCAGTTTGACCCTGTATCGAGAGAGTAAGCAATGCCCCGTCAGTGCTGTTCTGTAGCAAATCCTCGCAACTTCCGGGGGGGCGGTGAGAGACGTACAGCCACAGTTTCCCGTCCGGTACTTCTTCGACATTATCGCTTCCGCCACCCTCCTTGCCCAGCGCCACCCACACGGCCCTCTCCCCAACCCTGACCACCACCCCTTCGACGCCCTTGCCCTTGAGCTCTGCGGCCTCTTTCTTCCTCGCCGTGCCTTTCGGGGTCTCTCCGACCCGCACGATATCGCCTGTGCGGATCCCGTGCTCCGGCAACTCACCCTTGGAATCCTTGCTCACGACGGCCGCGTCGAGACCGAGTTCGACCACGCTGCGGCCCCCGAGACCGGTCTTCAGCGACTGCACCGAGAGGTTAAGGATGGCGAGGCCGGCGCGAGACAGCGTCGTGGGCGGCGTGGACGAGAGCAGCAGCGACGTCTCTGCGACCTCGGAGTCTTGTTCAAGGGTGACCAGATGGAGCAGCGTGGTGAAGAACGCAGACGGGGAGAGTGTCTCGGGCGCCGAGGGTGCCATTTTGAGAACGAGAGATGATGGGAGGGTTGATGTTGAGTTTGGGAGAGAGGTAGACGAAGGAAAGTGGGTGAGTGTGGTGGCTTCAGCAGACAAACCGGGCTAGTTGTAGAAAGGTGTACCTCGTAAACCCCGACCTAGCCGTTCAACGCCGCCGCGCAGTTCAACACCTTGACATTATCGATTTTTCGGATTTACTACCGGCCTCAGGGCCCGATTGCAGGGCGTTGAGGGTAGTTCTTTGATGTCTTTCTTCCTTCGTGGGGGTCGGGGTGGGCGGGGAGATTCTATTTTTGCGGTACAGGGATTAGATGAAGGTCCCAACAGCTCAATGCGGGCAATCACACGCTTTCCAGGATCCTGAGGCGAAGTGAAACTATGTCAAGGGACTCTCGATTGTGAGGCAAAGACAATGTGTGGGAAAATCATTCAGTCATCAAGTGACAAGTGCAGCATCGTGCTTCTTGGCGTATAAAGATGAGTAAAAACTGCAGTTAGAAATCCCCTCCACACCACGGATTTCGCAGAAAGCGGATCTTAGCGCACGCCGCTTCAACCTAGTAACGGGGGTGACTCGCCTAACCCAACATTAACCCGCCTCACCCTAGCACGCTGTCAGGTATAGTGCCTCAATTCCCTGCCATAGGCAAAAAGACAGAGAATCCTATCAATTATTGATAGATTCTAGGCACTATAGTAGATAAGG